TCGTTCCATTGAGTTTTGCGACCTGCAGTTTCCTTATAACATCCGTTTTAAGTGTCCAGATTTTGCCTGCATAGGTCATGACTGGTAGTACACATTGGTCTTATGTTTTCTTCTTTATATAGATAAAGTGGCATTCTAGATTTTAATACGATTTAGTTTCTTCGAGAAGTACTACATGCTAATTTAGTTCTTCTGTTGATTTAGGTAGTAGAGATCCCGGGCTGTGTATTAGTTGTCCCAAATATACATATAACATATTATGGTCCTAAAATTTTGGGAAAAAATTCAGAAACTGACAACTCTTATAAAAATAGTTTTATATTTTTATCATATTTTTAAATAACTTATGTTTACTATCCTAATTATAAAATAAAATTCAAACAGTGGACAAGGGACCGTTATTTTCGATTTGCCTAAGAATTCCCCTGACGCGTTGCATCATCCTTTGGACAACTTCGGCGCCAATGTAAGGATGTGAGATGAAGCCAGCCTCAGAAATGGCACACCATACCAAAATTTTGTCCTCAAACTTTTTCTTACTTTTTAATCTCACATCATCAGAGACATTTACGTAATTGTCCGTGTAGAACCCATCATTGCCCTTCGTCTCAGAGTTGGACAATGTGAAATATTTCTCATCGTCCATCACGATCAACTTGTTGACCAAAAATGCACTCTCCTCAGCGCGCGGCAACATCTCGGAATTCTCTATAGCTGGGCCTCTGTATATTTTGGAGCTTCCCTCCTTTTTCGGAAGACAATATTGTTACTTGATAAGGTTCTAAACACCGTAGTCTTTCCAATATTAAATCTCCTGGCCAGTTTTCGCTCTGAGATCCCAATTTTGTGTTTTGCTGCTTCAATTAGTGTTCCTTCTATTATTTGGTTCAAAACCAATGTACACATGGTATCCCTTCTTCACATTCTTTGATTGTGCGATAAATTGTCGATTTGCTAATGTTTTGATCCCGATAAATGACGACAATATCTCGTTTCGCCATTCGCCCAACAATATTATAAACTCCTCGATGAAGATGAATTTTATAAGACATTTTAAGAAGCAGAACCCAAAATCTTTTGCTTTGTTTATTGAAGTGACATGACTGATGACATTTCATTACCATGACTACTTCATTAAATGCATTTTATTACTTAACCAAACCAGATGAAAAATTTCCTAAAACTTTAGGACCATACGTTACACTCAGATGCAAAAAAAACGCAACAGAGAAATTTTTAGTCAAATTTAAGTCAAATTTAAAGTGTTATATTTTATTTTTAGACCTATTTTCATGATTTTTTTAGCAAACTTGTATATAATTATATCAACTTTAATTCGTAAAGTCAGTTTTTTGTAAACTTTAGTAATTGGCATATTATACAGGGTTAATCAAGGGTTTTTTATCCTAACTTTAAAACACCCTGTGCAATAATTTCGTGTGTAAATTTTCTTAAAATATAATTTTACGGTAAAAACCATGTCTTCTGAGCATTTTATTTTTTGGATCATGTCACCACTCGATTAACTCTGTATAATATGCCAAATACTAAAGTTTATAAAAAACTGAGTTTACAAATTAAAGTTGATATAAATATACAGCTTGCTAAAAAATTCACGAAAATAGGGCTAAAAATAAGAAAAATATTACACTTTATATTTGACCAAAATTTTCTCCGTTGCGTTTTTTTGCATCTCAGTGTATATTCTTCAACTACTTCCAGTGTTGTGTTATTATTAGAATGTCTTTTCTGTCTACTACTTCGCTGAGCATTACTTTACGAGGATGGTCTGAAAAGCTTCCGACCTCAACGTGAAGATGGCAGCACTCATCTGTTGACAGTTCATCTGTTGACAGTTATTCACCAAAGTTTCAGCCATTTTGGATGCGCAGTTGTTATGTAACAGTCGTTTGAGTGAGTTGATGTCAGTGTTTTTGTGAAAATGGACAAAATGGAGTATCGAGCTGTCATTAAATATCTGGTTTTGAAAGGCAATACGCCTACACAAATTAAACATAAGTTGGATTCTGTGTATGGGGACTCTGCACCATCATTTACCACAGTGAAATTTTGGGCAGCTGAATTTAAACGTGGCCATAAGAGCTTGGGAGACAATGAACGTTCGGGACGTCCAAAAACTACCGACGATAACATCGCCAAAGTTCATCAAATGGTGCTAGACGACCACCGAATTAAAGTGAGAGAGATAACAGAGGTTATGAACATATCAAAAGAACGTGTTTGTCACATATTAAATCAAGAATTAGGCATGAGAAAGCTGTCCGCGCGTTGGGTGCCGCGTTTGCTCACGTTAGACCAAAAGCGTGTTCGTATGAACATTTCCAACGCTATGTTAATTAATAAATCCGAGTTTTGGCGTCGATTAATTACTGTAGATGAAACTTGGATACACCACTATACACCAGAAACAAAAATACAGTCCAAACAGTGGACGGCAAAAGGAGAACCGGCTCCAAAAAAAGCAAAAGCTGTTATTTCGGCTGGGAAAGTGATGGCGACAGTTCTTTGGGATAGTCATGGAGTTATTTTAATTGATTATCTTCAAAAAGGAAAAACCATCACAGGAGCATACTACGCATCATTACTTGACAAGCTAAAAGCAGAACTTACGGAAAACGGCCTATTTACAGAAAAAGAAAATCCTGTTTCACCAAGATAACGGACCGTCTCACACCTCAGCGGTTGCCATGGCGAAAATCCACGTATTACGGTTTGAACTGCTTGACCATCCGCCTTACTCACCAGATCTAGCCCCTAGCGACTTCTTTTTGTTCCCTCATTTAAAAATTGCGCTCGGAGGACAGAGATTTTCGTCAAATGAAGAGGCAATCACCTTTGTGAACCACTATTTTGCAGAGAAAAACGCCGAGTACTATTTGGATGGGTTACAGAGATGGGAGCATCGCTGGGAAAAGTGTGTAGAGTTACAAGGGGACCCATGTCGAAAAATAAAATAAAATATTCAGAAAAAATGTCTTGTATCTTTGTTAGGTCGGAAACTTTTCAGACCACCCTCGTAGTTTTTGATAAATTCATTTTGAGATCTACTTCATTGCTGGCTGTAATTAGTTCGTTAAATTGTGCTTGTAGTTCTTCAGGACTATTGGCAATTAGGACAATGTCATCAGCAAATCTTAGGATGGTTAAGGTATTCTCCATCTATTTTTAATCCGTTGTTGGTCCAGTCCAGTTAACGGAAGATTCCTTCTAGTTTTGCTGTAAACAGCTTTGGGTATATCGCATCTCCCTCTCGCTGTAGAATGTTGTTAACAGGCTTATTATTTCGTTTTTGTCTGTTATTCTTATGGTGTTAATGCGATTACCTTCTTCTTTCCGATCATGAGGGATTTCTTAGCGTTCTTATAACTTTTTCTGTGTTCAGTTGCAGTTTGTACAGGGTTTACATTGTAGTTTTTGATATGTTCTACAATCCTCTTTCTTATTGTCCTACATAATTCTGTGTATTCTATTCTACGTATGCTGCTCTCGGTTTTCATGGCTCTTCTATTCTTGAGAAGTGTATTTTATATATTTATTTACTATTTATTTATATAAGTGAAAAATAATTAAGTAACGCCTCTGCCTGAAGTTTTCACCACAGAATGTGTTTGGTTTATCCAAATAATGGTACGTTTATTGCACCTATCAAAATTTCGTCCATCAATTTCAGTTATATGCGATCGAGCTCCAAAATCAATAAGTTCCTCGTGTAATTTCTGAAGCAATCAAGGGAATATTTAATAAACAAGGTTATTTATCTCACGTTATATCGGTATATATTCCACAATTAATTTCCCAACCAAAACGATCATAAAAGTTTGAAATTGGTAGGTGTAATATGGAGCGTTATACGTCTCCTTTATATATGCCATTTTGATGTTATTTTATAATAAACCATACAAAGACGTTAAGAATGGGAAATGGTAGGGTTTTATTTGTCCCGCACGCCACATTGTATGCGATATAGCCATATTTACGCCAAGAAGAATAAAAAAGACTAGAGACAGTTTTGTAAGTCCCGGGATTTCTAAAACGAACATATTTTTTAGCTTTTATCTATACGATGGCGCACATAAAGCTCCCACCAAGTTACACTTTTATTTGAAACGATTTCAAACACAAAACCGTATATATTTTATATATAAGTTATGGTTTTTAAATTACAAGGAATGAAATAATCCTCTCGTAAATATAATACCTATACAGCCTCGTCCACAGATTTTGAATATTATAAGAATATTTTAGCTGTATTTATATTAAATATTTATTAATTTATTTTTTCGTCTTTTTCATTCATTTATAAATGTATAAATTATACATTAAGTCTTCTCAAAAGCCCGAGAAACAGCCCCAGTTATGTCCCCACTAGCAAAACTGGTGCATAAAACTATGCTCGCCACCGTAATTGAATTCATCTTAAAAGTTTTATTAGTTTGAATAATAAATTATAATACAAGTTGGTCCTCCTCTTTTAGTTTTAGAATTTTCACAAATTATACACACACAACACTTTTAGGATAATTATATAGGTAACAAATTTCTCGTGTATTCGCTATTTAAATCCGTGTATTTTTAGTTAAAACCGTGTATTTTAGTTTATTCCGCTGTTTACAGTTTACACCCAGCCTATAGGGCTCGTTGAAGTGGGTTTAATGAAGAAATATTCTGTAGAATTGACCAAGGAGATCTAAAGTTTTGAAAGATCTCCCCGTCAAGGCAAAAAGTAATAAAATTTACAGAAAAGGTTATCAATGCCTATGAAGAAAAATTGCGCTGTGTAAAAAATGAAGAAATGATCTCTACAGTAGGTAGAAAAATTAATAGACACCTTGTACCTACACATTACAGTTCCTAACAATACAACAATGTTGTGTGTGTATCGAAAGTATTTTTTTCGCTTGTGTGGCACACTTTATTTGACATTCTCAAGGCAGTGGTAACATTTAATGAACAATCGTTTTTTTTTCTGTATCTTTCAGAACAATACCGATACGAGACAGCATACGCTTGTGAAGGGAAGACTTTGAAGATCGAATGCAAAGATGGCGAGGTGATCAAACTGATCAGAGCCAACTATGGACGATTCTCCATTACCATTTGTAACGATCATGGCAACACCGATTGGAGTGTCAATTGTATGTCACCGAAATCACTAAGGGTCCTCCACAGCAGGCAAGTAACCTGGTGCATAATGTTTTTGAAGACAGCACTAATTTGTTCTCTATATAGCCAAAAAAATGATAATATAATTTAATTTTCAATTTAATCACCAAACATTAAATACCAAAACATGTATTATTGTAATTCGAACCGATTTAGAATATTTTAATTAAGGTTATTGATAATTATAACCGAACCAAAATTCATAAATCGCTGCTCCACGTATACCAACCTAATTATACGTTTTGTCCGTTGTAAATCCTGTTTTAGATTTACCGAATGAATTACATCAAAGTTTTAAATATAAACAGTTCGGCCTTTCAATGCTATGTTATTTGGGCAATGAATTATTGATATGTATAGGCAGTTTTAGCCACATCAATTTATTAATAATAATTCGTTTTAATACAAGATCATTCATACAATTTTCACATAGAGACACAGATTATTATATATAATATTATATTTTTACTTTGAATGGTCTATATCATTTTCTATTTAGTCTATTTGAAACTGAGAGAACATTTTAGATAGTCCATTAGCTTGATTGGTAGTAAGTCAAAATTTTCTTTTCAATTTTTATTGATCAAAAAGGATGAAAGGGATCAAAAGAGTCTCATATTATTTTATGTGGTATTATTCACAATCGGATATTTTTCAGATACGAAAAGTTTGAAATTATTCCTGTGTGTAAGATAGAAGGTTCTTATCTATTGTATTACTAAAATTATTAAACTGAGCGTGCCTAACAGCAAAGTTCAATGAGTTTTCGAGAATATTGTGATAGATAGGAAGAAGATGAACGGATAAGGACGTGTTATATCTACCATAATCAAGTAATTTAGAAAGGATATACAAGAAATTGAGAGTCAAACAAAGCCTTCCGAACTTGAGAAAGTCAATTTAAAATTTCCTTTTGTGATGGAGATGTTTTAATTATTTTATTATTTGCCTTGGCGTATAATCGTTAAATTTCCCTTCTCATCAAACTCGCTCACATAGATTTCAAACGAAAACAAAATTTAATCAACGTTTTATAAATAAATAGACTTTTATCTGTACTGGTTCTGATTTGTAATGAAAGATATCCGATTACCTCATATTTATTCATTTTTCATTTACTTTATGTGGGTTTGCAGCTTATATATTTTATGCAGGGCAAATGGAAATGAGTACTTTTCTGATAATTACGTCAGTGTATTTATTATACTTGCTCTACATAAACTCAAAGAGGGTATAAAGCTTTTTTTGTGATTATACCATTTCACTAAAGGACTTTTTGGTAAAAAAAATCTTGAAAATTATCGACGAACTTGAAGAATTTCGTTTCGTGATCTCATATCGACGCTTTTTTAACGGATTTATTGTATTTTTGTTTGAATCACCGGCTGTGCAAGTAAGCAGAGATAAAATTCTGCGGTTTTACGAAAGAATTTTAATTGTGTTAATCACACGACTCTGATTGTAACAAGCGGTGACAAGCATTTCTAATAATACCTTTTTCGAATAATATCAAACGGTATTTAAGACCAACGAAATACCTTGGTACCTGGTATTTTCAGGGGTAAATAAATAATAGATGGGGTGTCTGGGAATTATTGGCATTTAGATTGAGAATTTTACCAAAAAGTTCTTTCTTGTGTGTTTCTCGAGTTATTTTGTATTTGATTTTGTTTTGAATTGTGAACAGAAAAATATTTATATTATTAACCTAATTTACATGTGATGGGAAGGAACATTTTTGTGCTTTTTTGTGTCTGCCAGTATTGTATGTTATATCCTTAAAAACTTTGGGAATCCGAAAGGGATTTTTTGTCGTTTAGCTTAAACAGGGCTCGGACTGCCGCACTCATTAATACAACTGCTCGTTTAGAATGTTTACTTTTTCCTTTTTTTACATCTCTCGCGTTTTTGCATCGCTCCAATTTAAAATACGCGGAAAATTCTCCTTTTTTGTATCTATAACGGCGCCGAAAATGATTCTGAGCGAGCGCTGCAACTGATAAATCACTTATTCATACAGAGCAGCTTATATGTCTCGCTTAGTCTGCCTGCAAAGTGTTTTAATCCTTTATATTCCCATCTAAATCTTTTCCGATCTTCCATCACGATAGATTTTCCATTAAACCTCTAATACATAACCTTCCACTATCTCCTAAAATATACCACTCTATTTCCGGCTTAGCGGATTTCCAGGGTGCTTAATTCTTTCTGGGTCCTTTGAAATTCAGAAACTTAACGAAAAAAGTGAGCTTGATCTAATTACAGGGCCTTGAGTTTGGTTATTAACTAATAACGTCTGAATTAATGGGTTACTAACTAAAAGTGCCAGTGGATTCGAACATTATATAATTCGATTTTAAAATCATAATTCCATCAGCATGATAAATTACTCAACATATAATATGTATGGCTGTATTGTTAAGGTAATTAATTCAGTAGTAATTATTACTACTTGTTTTTTTTATATTCTTTCAACCACGAACAGGTGCTTGAGATATTGCTTCTGTAACGTTTTCTCTGTTTAAGTGTTTTTTTATTTGTAAAAACCACCTTATTTATTTTGAAATTAGAATCTAAAAGTAAATCTAGCTGCGATTTGGGGAGTCTCTTATTGTGAGGTCCGATATACAGGGTGGTCCGAATTGTATTCGGGAAACTTCGGCAGCATATTCTACCAATAAAAATACGTAAAAAAGTTCAATATAAATGTATGTCCTAAAATGTTTCGTTTCGGAGATACAGGGTGTAAAAGTTTCATTTTTATTTCGATTTTTTCCAAATAATTTCTGAAGTAATGCCAATATTTGGATGAAAACTCTGGGTGTTTTTTGTTTTGAGAAATTTCATTTCCATATGATTCACTTGTCACTCTTCTAACCAGTCAAATAACATGCCACCTGCATGTGGAAGAAATTGAAATAAAAATGATACTTCTACACCCTGTATCTCCGAAACGACACATTTTTGAACATAAATTGATACGAACTTTTTTACTTATTTTTATCTGCAGAATATTCTGCCGAAGTTTCCCGAATACAATTCGGACCACCCTGTACAGAGAGGTAAAATTATTTCTTTTGGTCTGAAGTGGTCTGGGATACTTTTTAACAGTCGATTTCGGGTTAGTTTATCGGCAAATCTGGCCCATTTAGTTTAATAGAGGTAGGTGTAGCCTGGTGGAAGTCAACCTGGCATCCAAAGCCAACTTCGACAACAAATATCGTGTTGTTGCTCATGCCTTATCTCCGTCTCCTATCGCATAATTTTCTAAACATTAGTATCTCCACCACAATTTCGTAGGGCTCTATTCAGAAGTTAATAAATTGAAGCATTCTTTACCGACTTGTTTCTTAATGAAAACTAATGTTAAGTGATGTTTCATTTAATATAAAAATCTTTTTAACACCCCGTATTGTTCATTAAACGGCTTGATTCCACAATTTTACGTAATCATTTCTAAATGGAAAATAATGAATCCTTTATGCTGCATTGACGTAACCTGATTTTTATAAATTAAAATTCCCTCTGTAGATCATTACAGTGTTTTATTTTCTGTTCATAATGTTGTAGGTATTGGGCTAAATTAAACATGTACTTATATATGGTTAATGTTCTGTAAATATTGATTCGTTATTATATATATTTTTTACTTCTGAACTGACAATAGAAATGATTTATTGCTTAAGAAGGAATTGTTGATAACAATCAGGCGTTTTTTGTGATTTTTACTGTTTCAAATATGACCGTGATCCCTCATTTTCGCTGGGGTCACTTTTTTGAAAAATAAATCTGGGACATAAAGCTGGACGGAGAGTTTTTATTAGAATGGCCCTTATTCCTCCCTATGCGATGATAAATATACAGTTTTTAGATGCGTCCAATCTGATTTATTTCGATCTCGTCATATCGATGGGATTTTGCGAGGCATTTTGTGCAAAAGTGGGCGTTGTTTTTTCGTTCTTTATCTGTGTCAAGCACTGAAATCGAATCGCAGTGCCAGAGAGAAATGATTCGATTTAATCAAATGGCAAGGAATTTTAAACAATCCCCGGTCATTGTGTGGCCAATTCTCTAAACCCGTGTGCCTATTATGAACTTTTCTTTAGCAGCGTACGAACGAACTTCCAACATAACTTTTCTTCCCTGGAAATTTTCCAAATATCTGGCATTTTCCAGGTATGTCTGGAAAAGAGCAAAAAGCGCGAAAAATCGCTCTTTCCGGACTTTGTAACTGCACCAATACGTTAATAACACTGGGTAACATATTACATAACAGATTTTCGCTAGTATACGAGGGTTCTCTTTTATATTTTGCATATAGAAGTAGACAAAACAGTAGATATTGTTTTTAACGTTGGAATCAATTCTGAAAGCAGTATTATACTGCAACTTCTGAGAACTGGAACCTTTGACCACGCAGTTCATTCTTAATTTTTAAAAAAGTAAAAAAGTCGTTAGGACTTAGGTCGGGACTGTATGGAGTGTAGTCCAACAATTCGATGTTCTCTTACTTTAAACTCAATTATTTTTCGAGCTTGTGAGAATTTGCATTGTCTTGGTGGAGAATCATTTGTCGTTGTGAGGGTTGGTTTTTCGAAACTCAGCAATTACTTTCGGCAAACAAATAGATATGTACCAATCAGCAGTAACAGTTCTTTTATCTTGCAGAGGAATTGTTGCTACATAACCCGCTTTTGAGACAAATGTCGCCACCATCTTTTTAGAAACACTTTGAGAACTGATAACTTTCATTGGTTTTAGTTCATCTCGGAGCACCAAAATAGCCGTTTAACGTTTATTTTCGAGTTTATAAGAGTAAATCCAGGATTCATCACCACTGACAATATTGTATATATTTTTTGCGTTTCCTGCGTTAAACCGGCGTAGAATTTTTTGACACCATTTGACTCTAATTGCTTTCTGTTCTTCCATCAACAGATGTGATATTCAAGGAGAAACTATTTTTTACAAATAATTTTTCATGTAAAATTTTTTGAATTGAGGTCTTTCAATTGCCCAATCATGCTTCATTTTCACAATTTGTGACACGTCGATCTTCTTAAAAAACACCTGACGTACAGCATCGACGTTTTCCTGGATGACTGCCGTTGTTGGCGGACCTGTTCTTGGATCGTTTCTAAAACTAATCCGTCCACGTTTAAATTTTCCATACCAACAAGAAATTGTCGACTGATGTGGTGCTTCATTGCTAAAAACAGAAACCAACTCGGCAAGGCATTGAGTTTAGGTTGACTTTTGATATACGGACAGGGGTATGTTTCTATATGCAAAATATAAAAGACAACCCTCGTACTCTTCTTTTTGCAGAATGAACAAATGTAGTTTTTTGTAACAGTTCGATTGTAAACTGGCACTTTTAATCCAAGCTTTTTTGCAAAGAATTCTATGTGCATCTGCATATGTATGTGTGTTGTTGTGTAAAAAAAGGGATAAAAGGGTATATATTAAGGAAATCGAAGGAATATATAGGAAGGGTTTTATATTTTCAGATGTTATTTAAAGAGCAAGTGTTCAGTGGAGGTTAACAATGAGGTATTCGAGGACAATTGTCCAGAGACGCCCAAATATATCGAGGCACACTTTCAGTGCGTCGCTAATGGTAAATTTCATGGCGATGAATCACCACATTATATTATATAACATACAATATTGTCAGAAACGAGGAAGCATGATTATTATTTGGACTGAATAGGACCTTATTGATAAAATGCATTTCCTGGCTCCACTCCAAACCACTGTAATTCAAACCGTTTACATAGCTCATCAGTCTATTCTGTATATGGCGACTTACCCTCACCGACAAATTTAACCAATAATACTAGTCTAACATTCAAAATCACTTTGCATTTTATTTTATTTGTATTTAATAGGGCCACAGCCACTCGAAAAATATTTTATGATCTTTAGGAATAACCGCCTAAACGTAAATATTTAGAAATCGTATATTAAAGTGGTCGTAAGGCTAGTGAATAATTAAAAACACTTACGAAATTTATGGTCCAGTAAAAATAGTGCGCCTGCCTTAAGCCCAGTTTTGTAGCTCTAATTTCAACCGCAAGTTCGAGTTATAAAAAAGGTATGTGGTTGAAAACGAATGTATAAAAACTGGACCTTAACATGTTTTGTAGATATTTATATTGTTTAATTATTTGGTAGCCTTAATTAGCGGGGCTTTTTAAAATGCACGCGTCTCGATCTTTTGTTTTAAATTAAATGAGATGGTATTGTGGTTTAGGTGTACGCAATATCAAAACTGCAGCATACCGGCTAGCACGAGTATGTTTGGAGACCCTTGTCCAGGGACACATAAATATTTAGAAGCTCATTATCAGTGTTTGCCGGGTAAGTTAATTAAACAGAGTCTAATTAAAATGCTTCCTCGATTTCTCGCAATACTTTTCGGACCATACCGTACCGTTTTGCACCTTTTATACGCGGACCAACGGTTAGTTATGTAACGGCCTATAAAACTTTTCATATTACAACCGAAACACAGCAGTTTCGACTGGTCCCCAGTATGAAATCACTGCTGTATATAAAAAAAGTGTCTGTAAATTTTTAATAGCATCTTTCTTTTTTTTCATTTCTGTTCTTTATTTTTATTCCTTCAAAATCCCGCGGTTTAACGCTGGAGGAATCCAGAGAGTCTTTGGTTTATCGAAATTTTAACATATATTCCGTGAATCATGAATAAATAATAGCTATTTTGTTATACCGGGTGTTCCATCATGAAAAAACTGCTAAATTTAAAGTCTGTATACGAGTATTTTAACGGAAATGCATTAACGTTTATATTGGTTTAGTGATCGATGTTCCTGATACGGAATGAAGTAATTTTTGAACAAATTGTCATTCATTTGATATCCCATCTGCCGTAACATACGTTTTACATTTGGCTGAATTTTATTTTTATCCTATGCTATGGCGCAACTATAAAAGGGCAATAATAATAAAATTTAAATGGCGAGAAAGTCCCCTTTGTCCTCTAAAAATCCAATTTCAAATAAAACAAGCGTTGTTTTTTTCAAAACTCTTGTTTAACGATGTATTTCGCCTAGTTTCTGTATGTGTGTATAACTAAGTCATATTTTATATTTTGACAGGAGCGATATTGCCTTGCTGTAATGAAAAAATCGATACTCCGCGTATTTGCCTTTATGCAAAAGAAACAATTACTCCATTCCGCTTTAAAAACAGAAACTTCCATTTTATTTATAGTAGGAGGCGGCGTGATAATTGGTTAGGTTTTCGACACAATCAAGTTTGTTTCTTCAAAACACCTACAGAGTTAAAGTTAGTCTAACCAGTTATCATTCTGTCCACGAATATCATTTGATACCTAATGCCGGATGTATATTTATCACTGTACCTCATGTCTAGCTACAACTACTACAACGACTAACCGTCCCAGTCCGCCATGGCTTATAACATCACAGCCGCCCATGTGGAGCACCATCAAATCTCAGACGACTCGTCCATCCACCACCAAATTTACCATTAATCCTCCTCCTCCTTTGCCTGGCCCTCTTCCTACCTCTACCGCTGTCAGTTTACCGTCATCAACCGCCAAAGAACACCATCACGCCTCATCTTCGAGTCCACAAGACACCGGACACAAAGATTCAAACGAATGGATGGTTGAACCCCATCCTAGCGGAGATGGGTCACAGAAAACGACAATTGTTCCTCATAAAGGGGTGTTCTCTAGTAAGTAACCGGCATTTTTGGTGGATATTTTCGTAAAACGTTGTTTGCTTTCAGCTGAAAATATCTCGACTGATTCGTACCCTCCTTACTCGGTTTATCCCAAACAAAACTCTTTCTATCCGGGCCAAACAGGCACTGACTACCTTCCGCATCACTGCAACGCGACATCGATGCCAAATATGTTCTGGAAAAGTACAAAAGTCAATGAAACTGCTGTCCAGCCATGTCCACCAGGCACTACAGGCTTTGCAAAGTGGCGATGTATCGAAATCCCCATGTCGCCATACCCAAAATGGTCACCAGCCAATCCAGATTTGAGTGAATGCCGCTCAGTCTGGCTTACAAGCTTAGATCAAAGGATCCTAGCCGGAAAGGATCTCTTGATGACAATAATAAGCGATCTGGCTTCGGTAACCGGAAGCAAAGTGTTGTACGGAGGGGATATGGCACTCACAACGAAAATCATACAGAGGATAACCGAGAAAATGGCACAGGACATACAGACTTTTCCCGACACTCGGCAAAGAGAGGAGATCGTTTCCGATATGCTCAGTTATGTGGCTAAGACTAGTAGCAACTTACTAGATGTCAGCCAGCATTCTTCGTGGAAGGAGCTGAGTTACAGAGACCAGATGAGTGTGGCTACATCCTTATTGATAGGCTTGGAAGAGAACGCGTTTCTCTTGGCTGACACGGTTACAAGTAAAAAGACCGTAAACAAAGAGTTTAAGAATATATGTAAGTTTTAGATATAACAAGAGTTTTTTTTGTTGATTTGTATTTTTTTTAGTGTTGTCGGTAAGAATTCTGGATACAAAATCGTTGACGGATGAAGTCTTTCCTGCGGGGGATCGAAGCAGCGACTGGAAAGCTAGCAACGACTCGATAGAATTGCCAAAAGAAGCGTTGCTAGAAAACAGCGATGGTAATTTGGTCCGATTAGTATTCGTCGCATTCGACAGACTGGAAGAAATACTGCAATGGCAGCCGGATTTATCCGACAATTCGGGCAATAACATAACCAAAGTTCTAAATAGTAAAGTGATTTCGGCCAGTTTAGGCAAAGGGCGCCATATTCAGTTAAGGGAGCCGGTCAAATTGACGTTAAAGCATATTAAGACGGAAAATGTGAGCAACCCCAAATGTGTATTTTGGGATTACACGACAAATTCGTGGTCTGAAGAGGGTTGCCACGTAGACACTTCAGAATCGAATTTCACTCACACGGTCTGTTTCTGCGACCATTTGACCAACTTCGCCATCCTGATGGACGTACACGACATTTATCTTCCCATCTCACACGAAATCGCTTTACAAGTCATCACTTACATCGGATGCATCGTTTCGATTATCTGTCTCATCCTCGCCATTGTGACATTTCAGTTATTTCGGGGGCTCAAGGTATAACTTTCGATATTATTTTATACATTTTTATATAATTTAAAACATATTTCAGAGCGACAGAACAACGATACACTGTAACTTATGTACATGCCTCCTCATAGCCGAATTAATATTCTTAATTGGCGTGAATCAAACTGAAAATAAAATCGTTTGTGGAATGATAGCTGGATTCCTCAAATACTTCTTTCTGTGTGCTTTTGTTTGGATGTTCTTTGAAGGTAAACTGTTCAACAACTATTCAACAAAGTTTATAATTCAATATTCTTTATTATAGGTTTCCAATTATACGTGATGTTGATCGAAGTATTCGAAGTAGAAAAATCACGAATTAAGTGGTATTACATGTTCGCCTACGGACTGCCTTTACTGATAGTATTTGTATCGGCAGCTGCGTATCCTCAAGGATACGGTACAGCCAGGCATTGCTGGCTAAGAAGTGACAACTACTTCATCTTCACCTTCGTAGGACCTGTCATTCTTGTCATGGCGGTAAGTAATATTCTTTCGAAGCTTTTTTCTCAATCGTCCATGAAATTTTTCTATCTTTGTTTCTTTTGTATCGAACCGGAAATATGACATGGCGTATTTACTACGATGTTTTCCATTTTGTTTTCAGCTGAATGTCATATTTTTGACAATGGCAATAGTAATGATGTGCAGGCATGCTAGCGCTTCTGTGTCCATGAAAAATAAAGAACATTCCCGCCTTGCTAGCACGAGGTAATTATTTTATACTATTTTTCGAATGTGGAAAGGGACATACATAAGCTTCAGCTTAAAATTATTTTAAGGCCCGTGTACATATTAATGCGTACAGTGTCGGACAAAATTAGAGCGACAGCAAAAATAAGTTCTACTAACTTTTTCTCTATATTTTCATATCCTTTGCCGTTCAATCAATATACAAACGTAGGTTTATCGAGTATTTTTTACACGTTTTCAGGGCTTTTTGAAAAATCATAAACATATTATAAACTTTTGAAAATTTCAGCGTTTGTAGGAAATTTTATGTAGGTTTTCCACATGTATCCATTTAAAGGCTTAAATGCTATGCTTTTGCCAAAAATCGATTTTCTGAACTAAGCGATATTTGATAATAGTTAAATCTTAGGACTGCTCTCGTAAGGCCCATAATGGTCTCTTTCTATTCTATGTCTTCTAATTACTAAATAACAGGAGTTTTCTAAAAATTGTTAACCTCGCCAAAATCGCCGATACAATTTTTATTCCTAAATCAGCAATAGATGCTCTAATTTTGTCTGGTACCGTATAAAAAGTTAAAATTTCTATTTTACATAGTACATTTTTTAAACGAATTGAAATTTTTCCGTGGCAAAAAATTTAACTTTTAGTTTTTACACTGCCTTTCATTTAAAAGACCTGTTTAACACAATAATTCTAGTGAAGGGCAGTGTATTTTGATAGACATACGAAAGGTAAATTGTTTTTATGTCCGAGCATTTTTCATAAAAATTATACACAGAAAAAAAATCGATAAAACACATTAGTTTAATTTGAACTAGTGTTACGCATGTCGCTGGTAAAATCCAGCATGTATGCAGTTTTGTGTTTTTTTTTTCTGTTTTGTTTTTTCTATAAGCCAGTCGCGTTAGTTTTTCCACATTTAATCAGTTTTTAATGTTTCCCAGCGAAAGTTGAACATATCCAGGCTTTTCGTGACATGGAAAAATTTATTTACGCTTTGTATGTCTGAAATTTTAATTCGTGTCCAGTTTTGTATTGTTGCATAAATGTTGAATAGCATGGTGCCATTAGTTTTGTTTATGTGGCGAGATATTAATATTATTTTAACACAATAGTACTGTTGGTTGGGATTGCTCAAATTGAAAGCAATGAATTCACGATTGAACTTATAGAATTAAAAAACTAATTTTCCTACTAATTAACTCTGTGGATTTAGCCTAGTCACTGCTTTCACTTTTAGCTACAAATGGTTTTAATAACTTTTCAGAAGAGTCAAAACCTTAATATAGCTGATGCAATAAGTATTTTGTTTACATTTTGATTCCCATTCTCATACACCTCATTCACTATCAAACAGTGTGAGTTCTTTTACTGATCTGTGGGTTTGTCCGGCTTTTAGTTACGTCACTTTCCTTCGTGGAGGTCAGTGTTAGATTAAAAAAATATACTCATATTCACAACTGAGATTTCAACTTTGCTTTACCAATTTACAACAAAACAGAGCAAGTTGAATAGAAAATGCGATTTATTTATGCTTCAGTTCAAGCTTTGGAGGTGATTTTTCAGAGAATGACCCATTTTTTAAGTGTCGTAGTGGTAGATAACGAATCCATGTGGCGTGGTGATATATCTTTTCTAATATATTCTTTTTCTTGCATGGCGATCTTACATTGGTAGTGGAAAAGAAGAGAGTGCACTTCGAATGAAATTTGACTTGTAAGAACACAGTTTTTTCTTTTTAACCTTTAACAATGGGGATTATTTTCCGTAGATGCATTTCTTTATCAGTCCTTTTCACTTAATTTTATTCTCTTTCCAGAGAAAATAAATCTCTACGAAAGATAATCTCGAACCTAATACTAGATTAGATTTTTCTCTATTAACACAAGCATGTTATTAAATTCGGCATGCGATAAATTCTGTTATATATTAGTATATAGGAGTTAGAACACAAACATTTTCTCGGTTTTTAATAAAACCAGGATCAGTAACGTTGCGTAAACATTTCAGGGCATGGTTGAAAGGAGCTTTCGTCCTAGTTTTCCTCCTAGGATTGACTTGGATCTTCGGATTTTTATATATTAACCAGGAATCCGTTGTGATGGCTTACTTGTTCGCCGTCTTCAATTCACTGCAAGGATTCTTTATATTTTTGTTCCATTGCGTTCAGAACGAGAAAGTAAGTGGCCGAAAACTGTCAAAATAACAACACATCGTTTCCATTTTATATACGTTCGATATTAATATAAAAAAAATGTCACGTGTGGGGGGAAAAGTTTGGAACAAATGTGCGAAAAACGATTAACACGACCGCACACAGTTTCAAAACTAGAATTTCCGAGTAATTTATACACTAAACTTTAGAACTAGTTATTATTCTTGTTTGGAAATTAAATTTAAATGTATGAATAGTCAGTCTTTTTCGGATATTTTACTGAAACGCTTATAATTTCAGTAAATAAAGTTAATAATACGTAGCATATATCTTCTTTAATTTAACCAAAATATATTCCGTCTTTAAGGGTGGTCATAAAATTTAAAAAATTTCGCCATTTGTAAGATATTTTATGTAGAGTATATGTTCCTTAAGGTACTTAAATGCTTTGATTTTGTGATAACGATTTTTTGAGCGATTTATGTTGAATAAACGCCTACACCTAAACCATACTTTTAAGATTACATTATACAGGGTGAATCTTAAATAAGTACAAATATTTTTAGGGGTAGTATATTTTGACCCCAGAAATACGATTATGAGGGTTTTTGTCGATTTTTTTTTGGAAAATCTGGAATTTTTTGAAAAAATTAAAATTTTTTTAGTTTTTAGTTAAAAATATAACTTCTTACTAATATGGCCACATACGTAGTAAATTAAATTTACAAGGAAAAAAACAGAAAAGATGGAGTGGTTCTTAAAATTTAAGCAAAAAATATATTTCTTTGGAAACTTTCACAGTAAAATATCTAGATTATTTTGGACTTTTTGAAAAAGGGTAAAGAGAAAATATGTTTCTTTTATCGAGATCTACCAGCCCTAAAAATATTTGAACTTGCATATACTCATCCTGTACAGTAGTAGTTTTTTCGAAATCGGTGACTTGACCAGAGAACACCCATTTTTATGACTATTTTTTATACGTTTTTAAAAGTCTTAAATATAATAAATAAAATAAAAATAGTAAAAGGTTTTGCAAGAAAATCGGTAATAGGTTTTGCCTGCCTTCAAATTCGTACTCGTAGGCTACAGTTTGGTTGTAAGAGATTATTTATTACTGTTTTGATAAAAATAGGGATAAACAAAATTTGTCCGTTCTAGTGTTTTAATTCCTGTAAAAGTAGCTTTGATGATTTTGTAGGTTCGTAAAGAATACCGAAAATTCATCAGGAGGCACTCCTGGTTGCCAAAATGTCTGCGCTGTTCGAAGAGCGGCAGCAATGGTGCAGGCAGCAGCAGCGGAAATAGCCAGAGCTGCACCACTTCCGGGGGTCCTGCCAAGGAGCGGCGCCCTAGCCTGTACGGGGGCTCGAACGGGAACCCCTCCGCCGGTACCAACTCCCATTCCACGGACAACTCCGTTCTGACGCCTCAAGGAACAAGTGTGGGTACCAATAGCATCAACAGTATAGTGATATCGAATAATCTAAATAACGCGCGTCCTACGGCTCTAGTCCAGATTTTGTCTCGTAGCGATCTCAACAATGCAAGTACCACCACCATGACCAACCACAATCGGCTGCATAACGTGTCTCAACAAGGTACAGAACAGTGTTTACGCATAGACATTGCGGATCTGCGGAATGCCAATGCGCTTCTGTCGAATGGCACCCGCCTGCCACGGTTTTGGGCTCATTTCTAATCAAATAATACAGGGCGATCCATTTGTTATAGTTAACCATGACAAACTAACAGGTGATGATATCTAACCCTTTCAAAAATAACAATAATAACAGAGAATAAGGTTCCTAAATATTGAATAATTTTGCAATTTTTTATATCTAGTAAACATTGACGGACAATTTTGAAAACTGCAACATCTATAGGAAATTTTTATGTAGATTTAGAATATATAATAGTCGTTTTTGAACGATTTTTCATTTTGGCTAAAATTTTACCTACAGTTCATACTGAATTTGTCATGTCAAAATGACTTATATTTTCGTATTCCACTACTTTTAATTAGTAAGTAACAGTAATTTTAACAAAATCGCTGACTTGACGAAAATCGACAATTTTCAGATGTATTGGAAAAAGTCGAAAAAATTACAATTTTTTTGCAAATTTTTAAAGTCCTTTTAAAGATAGTAATCATAGTAGTAAAATTATGAAAATTTCAGCACTTGTATGAAATTTTATGTAGATTCAAAATATATATACAGCTTTAAAGGCTTAGATATCATAGTTTTGTGAGAAAATTAATTTTTTGGGCCCTTGTTTTGAGCTATATTTGATGATGGTTAAAATGTCTCCTACATCCATTACTGGTCTCGTAAAACTATAATAGCCTATATTTTTATTAGTAAAATCATTCATTTTCAACAAATTGACTATTTTTAGCTGTTTTTGGTCTTTTTCAAAACTCTTAGAAAAATAGTAAACATGACCATATAGTTTTGAAAATTTTACTATTTATAGGAAATTTTATGTAAATTTTGAATATATAAGCTTTTAAGGGTTTAATTACTTTGTTATTTTAAGAAAATTGATTTTTCGAACCCTTGCTTTTGGGAATATATAACCGTAATTTTATCACCAAAACCGGTAATTTCTCCAAAACCGGTAAATTTAAAATCTGTTAAAGTTTATTATTGGATCGCCCTGTACAAGTCGCGATAAAACCATTTGCAAAGCCGTACTTTTGGCATGGGGGTGCCGTTTTGTTTTTGTCGAGTGCCGTTGCCATTCTGTCATTTTCGTATGTCCGTGGTTCACGCAGCTCGTTGTTTGATCGTCCTTCCTTCATTCTTTGGTTTTTGCTTGACTCTGTTTAACTGTCTGTATTTTTCTCTGTTATACTTTAGTACACATCACACACTAGCGTAGCGCACCTTTTGGCTGTCTAAATTTTAGCCCTTGCTTCTTCAAAATTTTACAATTTGATAAAAAAAAACACCAGAGTATTTTCTCAACTCGCCAACACGTAATGCGACACAACAGAAACGAAATTTAACGGAACGACTGTGTTTTAATTAAAAATTTATATCGCTAAACTCGAGGAACAAAGAGTTCTTATTGTTTGTATCCTTAAATTTAACACCTGAATACAATAGCTATTCAGAGGTGTTTTGAGGCTAGTCTCTTTTTATGTTTTTATTTTTCTCGTTGGTTTTATTAACCCTTTAAAACGTAGACACATTACTGCTGTTTTTAATTACTTATGTGTTAAAAGAAAATATTCTCTTTCAAAAAAGTCCTAGGGTATTTCGCCACTTGTATTGTAAGAAAATCTACAAAACAAAAAAGTTATTTTTTGTAAACACTGCTGCAAATTTGCCTGACGGCTAAAAAATAACTATTTAATTTGGCAGATTTTCTTACAATCCAAATGGCGAAATACCCATAGGATTTTTTTGAAGAGATGAATCCGCCACAGAGATATAGACATTTTTTATGAAAATATTCGTTTTTCCAGAAATTCTCAATTTTTGGCTGTTTTTAAGGCGAAAAATATAGTATATGTAGTAAATCTCATGTAGATTTTAAATATATAAAGCTTTAAGATTTCAGTGATTTAATTTTGTGAGAAAATCAATTTTTAGAACTCTATATATTTTCACTACATCTTCTCTTAAAATAGCAAGGAGGAAAAATTCAAAATTACATTATTTCTGTATGAGTTTTTTTATTGAACTTAACGTATTTAGGAGAAATAATTGCGTTGTTTGAGAAGCTGGGCTAGAATTTTCAGTATATTAAAGTCGTGCTGCTTACTAACTTGACTGTGGAGTACTGTGGTGGTGCCCGCATTGTCGCCTCTCCTCTCTGGCATGTCTCTTAGGTGGTACTCGTGTTTTGGACTTTGTTACTAATGCTTTTAGCTTTTGCCCTAACGGCTCACGGCATTTTTCGAGCGATCGGCTGAAAGACGGCACGGAAACCACGCTCACGCCCGATCTTTTTGGTGATGGTTGCTATTTCTTTTGCAGTTGCATCGAGGTTGGAACTCCCAGAGCTGTACGAACGTCAATCGGGTGTGTCGCACCCCTGTACCCACATCTACGTCGGCCAACATGGCTGCTACTCTGTGTCGCCCCCTCCGGGCCACAGACATCGCTCCTTCTCCCGATCTTGAGCCCCCCAACACATCCACTCTTCCTTACATTCGTAATTTCTACAAAAACGCCACTGTCAATCCCAACATCCCTAAATCGGTATCTACTTGGGGTCCTCTGCACAAACCCTTACACTGGAAGGTTCGTAACGTTTTAACAGCTTTGTAGTTCTTCTAATTAAACGCATGATAATACAATTAACTCGTAGAAATTCGTATTTTATTAACGAGTCAAATATTCTAAGTTTTCAAAAAAAATACAGTAAAACAAGTTTATTTCCTTAGACCATGAAATGTCTAGACACCAATCTTTCCAGAGCCCTGTAGCCAACATAACTCGTGGCTTGACGTCACAGCAGGGTAAAATTAACGATACTTGCCAATAAATAGACGACTTCACGTGTCTTATTGTTTTTAATATTCACATTTTTAAACTTGCAGAGTAAACTGAAATTAATTAAAAAATGAATTCTCTGAGCAGGAGATGATCTAAGATCAAATTATTTTTTTTTTAAGATAATTACTAAGAGAGTAGGTATCTATAATTATTACATTCTACTTAACAAGTTTTACTGTACGTGTAAGTTAAAAATAAGACATACATAAAATGAAAGTGTTTTATGGCTTCTAAATTATTTTAAAAAAGACTTTTTAGAAAAGTATTCAAAATTTATAAATCACAAAAATACATTTTCATTTGATGTGTTACAGTGCATTCTACAGCCTCTCTTAGGAAACCACTGGCAAATATTGTACAAAATTTCCGGAGATATGTTGTAGAATCCCATGTTACCTTCAACTAATAGGAGCTTTCATTTGCAGAACATTTCTTTTAAGTCGTACAGCCGCGATTCCGGCCATGGCGGTTCCGAACAGGAGGAATCTCCGCGATCGCACATGATCATAGCTGAAGCTCATCGCCATTCCTCATTAGCTAAAGACGTACGCCAAATGCAGCCCTGTCAGCAGAGCGCCTTCTCAGACTACGGCCTTCGCCAGGCCATCGCAGCTGGACGTAAAAAGAACGGGTCTTTGAAGCCGCTGCATTGGGGTCACCACACCTACACCGAGATCTGCGACGGCCAAAACCCTAGAGGGCTCCTGGCAGCAGAGGATGATCCTGTCTACGAGGAAATAGACAGGAACGAGATCCAAGTCAGTGATATGAGTGACGAGGACGCTAGAAGACAGAGCGATATGAGTAGACAGAGCTCCAGGTCGTATGGAGATCATAGACCGTTGATTCCTTATAGTCCTGGCACTGAACGCAGCTTCCTGGAGGTTCTGAGCAGTAACAAAGAGCTGGAGAATGCTTACCGCATGAGATGTAACAACGTGGGGTTGCCGTCTTATCGCAACCCCCAAGGAGAGGCTGCTGTAAGGTCTTTAGCTGCTGTTCTAGATGGAGAAACTGTCGTTTGTCATTTGGAGCCCCCCGAAGTGTTTGCCCACCCCCATATGGACGTCACCTACGTGTCGTCACGAACTTTGACCTCCTCTCACCTTCCTCCTTATAGTGAAAGTTAGAAACTGCCATTCGCAAGTAATTATCTGTGATTACCGCATGATCAGACTGTTTTAGTCGTCATATTTAATAATTTGTTAGTAAGGCTCAGCTTGAATGAAAGAAAGTGATAATTTTATATTAATCGACTATTTTAGTAACAAAAGAAAATGAACTATTACTACGTATGAGTTATTCCAGTCAATCCGTTAGTTAATTTTTGTAATTCCCTTTAGTAATATCTAATTTGCCCAAAAACAACTGGACACTTTTTATATCGACAATTTTTTTTGTGTAAAATGAACCTAATAACATTTTTTTCTTCGTTACTATACAGAAACAGCCTCAGCTTCATTAAAATAAGTCTGAGAAGATCACATGATCGTTTTTAAGACCTCAAAATTCTTTTTATTGGTAATTTCAATAGATAAAAGCATCACGAATAATATTCAAATAGCAATTATTGGTGTAATAACTAATTCCAGTTCACCCATAATTTTATAATTTTTTACAGAAAAATATTCGTTTTTAAGATCTCAGAATTAGTTTTATTTATATTTTATAAGTCTGAAAGCATACAAAACAACTTTATGCGTGTCACTGTAAATGAAAGGCATCACAAATAATATTTAGATGGCAATTGGTGTAATAACGAGTTCCAGTTGTGGTTTGGGCAGTTAGCCAGGTCCATTTATAGGATAAGGGAGCTCACTGATTTTAAATAACTATGTACCAGAGAATATATAATCTGGCCCCTCCAAAAAAATATATAAACACAGTTTAAAAAAAATAATTGTTTCTTGTTGTATAATTGTAAAGAGTGGGCTTGTAGAAGAATAGTAATTAATATCCCCTCTACTCAATATAATTTTCGTTATTTGGAGCTATTTTCCTAGCTCTAAACTCCACAAATTGATGGAACAGTTGTATCCATTTCGATGTACTATCTATGGACCTAACAAAACATGAAGCTTATTAATTCAGCCGTATTTCGTGGTTGAATAAGTAAATTTCATTTTTTTCTATATTGACAAAAGAATTCATTCTGCAATACTAGTTTACGTTGTTAATATTCTATACCCTGTTTCTGTAATTTCTCATGTTAAAATAAACTTTTTGGATACCCCTTAATCTAAGAACACAAACCGTATGTATTGGTAAACGTAAGAGAAAAAATACATAAATAAAAATTTCGTTTACATATAACAAATGTGTTGATATCCTAGATCATGGAAATAAAGCAATCCAAATTTTTACATAATGTACTCCTTATTTAGAGAAGAAAAAAAAGTATCAATTTCCTTTTATTTATTTGTATATAAAATTTGTCTGTTTTTAATTTAGTAGTGCTGTTTAAGTTAAGACTTAGCTAGCACGGAATTTGTAAATATTAAATAAAAATGGCAACTGCAATACTATAGTTTTTTTATTACCTTCGCCTTAAGATGCCAAGGAAATAATCTACCCTTTTGGAAATATATCTTCTTGTATTTTACGTCTCAGCATTATTGAAACAAAATTCTAATAACAAATACTTCTTTATTTAAAACAATTGCAAATAATTTAATAAAACTACACTTACTGTACAAACATATTGTCTTTTTTTTTATTTATAACATCAATTATTAAATAATTAATACGGTAACTTTGGTCAATATTTTGTTTTGAATTTCTTTTTCAAGGAATGTAAACAAACAGAGATTCGCGTTAATGTTATAAAAGAAACCTATTTTAAGGATTTTAGTCGTTGGGATTGGAAGATAGTTTAATGAAATGTACGTGTAGGTATCTGATGCAATTTTTACATAATTCAAATCCTAGGAAACATGCGGCGTTGGCTGGGAATGCCCTTAGCAAAACTGGAGTTACTCCTTTGTATAACGCCAAAGGACCTTCTGTTTTTATTAGTTCTTTGAATACGTCTCTTATACCTCTGGGATATCTACCGTCAGGAGCTAGTAGGAAAAAAATATGTTATATAAGACAAAAATTGGGTTGTATAAAGGTACGTCTACCTGTTTGTAACCGACTCTTTAGTACATCCGGAGGCATTCCAACTAGCCAATGGACAATTCCTGCTGTTCCACCTGCTAAAACAGTACCTAAAATGCTAATTCGTTCTCTTCCATTTTTTGTCAGGTAACCGGTAATAACTTCGTAAGTCAGGAAGTAAAAACCGCAAGCTGGGACATCTACAAATTCGGGTTAAAGGTAATTAATGATACTTTATTATCACGCAAATTAAAAAAAAAATCGTTTAGGGAATGTCTAAATGATAAAACATTATTCGAATTGTTATATATGAATATTTTACGGAAATATGTGGGTGTTGATATCCTGTAAAAATATCTCTTCACTCCAGTTTACTTTTATTAGTTCTTCAAGAGAACTAACATATAGAACGTAAATAAATATAGGAAAATGGGCTGTTTTAATTGGGTCTTTTTCGCGATTTGTGTACTCTCCAGTATTTTTCGTGTAAGTTTTTTGCAGTTTTCGCGGAAAAAAGAAACAGTAGAGTGATTAATCAGTTTTTTTCTAGTGTGATGCGTGGGAAAGGGACATTACTTGCCCTTTGATCTGTACTTGCCAATTGCAACATTTAACCGAAACAGCTATATATCGATTTATGCAAAAGGAGAAAAGTAATATTAATGTAGAACCTGTGGAATATAATGAGGTAAACATTTCTTTTAGTTAATACGCTTGAATAAACATTTATTTTATGAAAATATTTCATAATAAAATTAAAAAGTTACTGTAATGACCAGAAAAAATCTATTTTTGCTTTGACTTTTTTGGAATAAGATTTTTAAAATGTGAATTCTTCCTAAGAAAAAATACCTAAGCATAAACATTTTTTTGAGACTATTGATATGTCATTTAAAAAAATAATTTGTGAAGAAAGGATATGAAATGAAAATTACGATAAATTTTAGATCGTTCATTATTTTGACGATAAATTTATATACGCATTCTTTTGTTAGGTTCTTTATGATGAATCTTTTGATACTGTGGAGCTTCTGGAAAAGTCCCATCGTGCAACCATAGTGAGATCAGCCACCTGCGTTCTCCAAACAGAAACGGAACCCGTAGACCTTATCGATTCACTTCCTTCGCATTTGGAAAGCCTCACTCTTATCCAGGGCTACGAGTCCGGAAATAAGACGATTAAATTCAGCTGGCTGGGCAAATTTGAAGGACTAATAAGTCTGGAAATTATAGGGCCCACTGTTTTCCATAAAGATGTCACGAACCATCTTTTATGCCAGATCGATTTTTCCTTGGAGAATTTGAATTATTTAAATCTGGAACGTGTTCTCGTTCAGAATTCCAAGGAACAAATGCAATCGTTTTTCGATGTGCTGAAGGGGAGCGAAAATTTGACGTTTGAATACGTGCAGAAGATGGAAGGGGACCCTCACGTCTTGACAATCGTTCAGAAAAACAATTATGAAGAGGATATGGTGCCTTACGAGGTATTTAAAGAACAACGAAAGAATAACGGGGAAGTTCCTTTATTTATCGGCTTCAAAAAACTGTTGCTTTTACGAATAACGAACTGCGAGCTCAATAACATCTATTGGGAAATGTTTGACGGACTCACAGACCTCCTTTACTTAATGCTCGAAAGAAACAACCTCAGATTTATACCGTCTTTCTCGTTTTATGGAACCCCTAATTTAAAATCACTATCTCTAGCTCATAACAAACTTTTGGATATCGAAATCACAGATCTGGCCGGTTTACTTGAACTGGAGTACTTAGATTTAACTTACAATAATTTCACGCAACTTTCTGAATTATCTTTTCCACCATTTCCGAAGTTGAAACTAGCTAATTTTGCAAACAATCCTATAAGTACCATTTTTCCAAACACTTTCGAAGTAATGAACACAACTGATTCTTTGATTATAGGAAGCGAATATATACCTTTAACTTTACTTCCGAACTCATTTGCGGGTCTGCGTTTGCTGCATTCTTTAACTATTAATAATGTGAAAGTAGAATTACTAAAAAGAGACTTTTTTCTTGGCATGCCTCAGCTGAAACAACTAATTTTGACAGGGGATATTAATAAAATCGAATTTGATGCATTTTTAGAAGTTGTAAATTTAGATACTTTGATATTAACAAACTGTAACATTATGAACGTCTCTATGGATGGTTTTATAGGACTTAAAAAACTACATTATTTAGACCTTTCTAAAAATAACTTAGAAGTACTCCCATCAGGCGTTTTTGACGACTTGGAAAACATTAGAGAACTATATCTCAATGGTAATAAATTTAAACAACTGCCAAGGGACATATTTTCAAAAATCCATCCAAAACTTCTCAGATTAAATGACAATCCATGGCATTGTTCTTGTGAAATGAGTGAGTGGAAACCAATAATAGCCAACAGAATTAAACACAAAACTTTAAAAACTTGTGATTTCACCCAAGATAAAGGAATTGGATGTGCTTCAATGGAAAACAGATTTGAATACAAATACGTCTATGATACAAGAATTGGACCTAAATGTTCAGAACCCGAACGTTACAAAAATTGGAGTGTTTTTCACGCGATGAGAAGAAATTTAAAATGTCCTGACTATAAACCCAAACTCAAAAAACCAGTTGCTGCAAAAAACGCTACTCTGGATTCAAACCCTAAAAATATCACCAATGGAGAACAAACTACTATTAATAGCGTACACAAAGTTCACTCAAAAGTAGAAAAATTGAGGCTTAAAGCTAAACTAAGGAAAGCTAAGTATTTAAAATATAAAATGAAGAAGGATCTTAAAAGTGAAGAACCAGAAGCTCAGCCTCTTGTAGACAGTCAAAATGACTTAGAAAATGAAATACATCTATAAAACTAAAGCTTCGATTTTGTTCAATATTATATATTTATTTCTTTTCAGAAATTATATTGTATTTATTTATACTGAACAGTAGATTACTAAGATTTTATTGTAAATATTTATCATACTTTTAAAAATGTACATTCAAAGATATATATTGTAATAATGAATGAAATAAATAAAAATAAATATAGTGAGTGTGAATTTATTTTTAAAGCTACTTACCTCTTAATAATGTAGCTCCTATACCTCTGTATATACTGGTAAGGCCCCCTTGGCGATAGAGCTGTTTGACCACATCAGCTGGCCCATCATAGACCTTCGCCGTTCTGTGGCCCTCTTGAACTTGTAACAGGCATTTAATTCTTTCACCTGGGGCTACTATAAGGGTTGTGGACAGCCCAGAAAACGCTCCAGCCGTGAAGAATTGAAGTGCAGAGTGTCGTCCTTCTTTTGGGCTAAAAATTTGCTTTCCTATTCCATAACCCAGAAATGATAGAGCAAATATAGGAGCCACCCCTACCAGTGGAGCTCCCATACCTTTGTAAAACCCTTTGAACCCTTCATTCCTTAAAGTTTGGTTGAAACAGTCTAATGTGCTGGTGTATTTTGGTAACGTTCCTGGTACAGGTACTGGCATTGTTTGTAGGCGTATCTAAATGAATTTAGAAACTATAACGTACCTTTTAAATGTTAAAATCCTTCATAATGAGTAATTGGTGAATTTTAATTCATATTTTTCTGGTTTATTTTTGCTACTTTACCTTTATGGTATCTAATGGGTGTCCGACTAATACTGTGCATATGCCGCCAAAACCACCGCAAAAAAAATACTCTACAGGGGTTAAGTCAGTCATTTTTTTCAAATAAATTAAAATTAAATTCAAATATTCTACAACATTTTTACATAACCTTAAATCTGAAAATAGGGAGGGAGTGTCCACAATCGTCTAGTTTTGTTTTTTGTTTTTGTTATTATTCGTACATTACTATTATTGTAAGTGAATTTTTTGATAAATTTATTGAAAATATAAATTTCATAATTTTTCATCACAGAGAAAATTCGTTGGTATTATTCTTCAAATTTTAAAGTGAAAGTAATTGGAATATGATGCAAATATATTATGGTAACTGTAAAAATATTCCTGTTTTTAAGGTTATAATGAGCACATTATTTGTATTTTTCTAGAATTATTTGATAATAATACGTATATTCTTTATGTAAAATTAAACTAATTTCTAAAAGAGATTTTTATATGTTTATAAAGTCAAATTAATAATAAAAAGTGTATTATAAAAATGATCAAATGATCAAGAATCATATAAATTTTAATTTTGAAAAATCATATATTTTAAATTTTCGGTTATTCTTTCTATTAATGCAGGGGGCAAGGGCAGAGGGTTATAAATAAAAATGCAGACTAGTCGATAGGTATTTTATTATTATATCCTACGTATATTGTATTTAAATTTATAATCATACAGTCTAGAATGGGTTTGACATCCGATAGACAAGTCATTATCGGAAATAAATAGATATGGGACAAAAACAGCACTACACATGTGGCTCAAATTGAATAATAAGAACTTTTTTCTCCTTATACACACAATTTTTCACGTAAAATCGATCTTATACTTATTATTTGTTTCAATGGAAGACTCAGTTTTAGTTTATATTTATATGTATAATATATAGCATAGTATTTCTTTACTAATTTAAATAGAAGATGTACACATAGAAGCCAATAAACCTTAGAATCTATATTCTTATAAGATAGGAAACCAGTATCTTATATTCAGTTTTTTTTTTAATTAAGACCCTTGACCGTGCTTCTCGTATTTACCTAACAGTATATCGAGTTCATTATCTTCTATCTTACTTAATTTACGTAAAAAATTACCTAACAGCCAAAAAACCTCTTTAGAAAATACTTAACTTGAACAGAATATGGATTTCAATGGCCTCTAAGTGCATACTTTTTTTTGGCTTAAGATTTACAGCCTAAACATATTAATTAATTGCATTTTATTTTTTTGATGTCTTAGCAACATACACTAAACTTGTTTTCTCTTAAATTTATATATTCTAGAATACTAAGAAAATACAAATTTTTTTTCTTTACATAAATCACGATTGGTTTAAAAAATGATACCTTAAATTACACATTCTTCGCGCAATGAATGTTCGTGGATTTTTTCTCAATTTTTACCCTATGCGCATATTGTTTTATATTGTGTACGCAGCACAATATATCGACATGCGCCCTTTACAAATGCTACGTCCGGAGGAATATTCTAGTAAAATAGGCATGTTATTCAATTATTTAAACATAGACATAATTGACCTTTATAATTGGCGGAAATTTTATAGGTGTTGTGATAGCGTGACAAAATCCTTATTGGTCCTTTTTTAGGTTAAAGTACTCCTTAGAACGTAAGATTTGTGTCAGTGTTTTTCTCTTGAATGTGTGTTTTTTATTTCAGCAAGCGAGACATCATCGATACAGCGAATATAAGGACACAGTATCCAGACTTTGAATCAAAAACGCGGTAAGTAAAGTAGCTTATTTATTACTACGCAGCAACCTTGAATATGGCTGCGCATCAAATTGAATCGAAAATTTTCCTATTCGGTCTGAAATGTTTCGAATTAATTTTTTTCTGATAAAAGTTTTGTATTTTACAAGAAACTTTTAGAACTAATGTAATTTCCATCTGCGAAAAGAGGTGCTTTCTATTTTTCTGGCACTATTACAATATTTCTTGAAGTAAAAACTGTTGCTGTTATACGAAATTGAAAGAAGTTTTCTAGTTTGAAAGAAAATTTCAGACATGAATAGACACTTATCGTAGTTTTTTCATCAAAGCCTTTCCATATATTTACCTATAATCATAAGACAGCAAACCTGGAGTGGTGAAATGAAAAATTAACATTTATTATGACAGAAAGTGAAAAGTGATGATTTTTACAGTGGCGTAGCTAGAAATGTGTAAATAGGGAGAAATCTCGAATTAAATATTTGTAGGCCATTATTTTGTATATAACAGTGTAGTCGTGTAGTCATATTATAGCAAATTGATATTGGAGCAGTTTATGTTATAGTGAATTATTCCCTGGCATATCTTCTCTAGCTACACCACTGGATGAATGAAAATTTTGAGGATCGACTAGTAACAGCGTTAAATTTTTCAAAACGGATCTAATCCGCATTTTCAATAAGTGTTTTACTCGATAAAAGTTATAAAAACTTAACAGAAATTTTTAGTAATTTTTCTATAGTTAATTTAATTATGTACTTTTATTATTTACATAACATATTATTCCACTATTCAACTACAACCTGTATAATAAATATTCACAGATTTATTTTAAACAGTATTGTCATATAAAAATGAATTGTTCTTACGTGTCTAAATATAGGATGACAAAAATTTGAGGAAATTACCAATGAAAATTTAACGAAATTGTTTTTTTTACACTCACAAGTAAATAAAGTTAGAAAATACTTGTGGTAATTTTTCCTCAATTTTCAGTGACCCAAATATAATTTGCTACAACTTGTGATATTTCGTTATTTTTTTTCATTAAAATTATGTCGTAAAAAAGAAGTTCTTTTAGTTATACAAAATGTTCATCATAAAGTTATATAGCAAGCCAAAAGAGCTTTAATTTTGAAACGTTTGAAACATTGCATATAGGACAAACCTCATAGAATTTCGTATTTTATTTTATTTTTTGATATCTGACATCTAAAGATATATACTAATATATATAATTTAAGTTGATATAATAGCAGTTATAGCCGCGTGGCTATCATTTAGAATTTACGTATATTACACTAATAATCAACAAAATTGACGGATAAAGGTGTTTTGTTTGTGTCAAAACAAATTATTTCGGTTTTGAGATACTCATCGAGTCTTACTCTATATGTCTATATTTATTACTATTGTAGTTTGTATAAGGTATAAACAATACGAATATAAAAATTTGCAAAAAAACATATTAGGTTATTGTCATTCCCTTATTTTCATTCCTTTCTAGGATAATTTTGTTTTAAAAAATATTCATTCTTCTAAGATAATAATTGTGAAGATTTTCTCTACAACATTTAATAATATTTACAATTTGTCCTTACTTTAGTTTATTCTTTTCTCGTATATAAGACCGTACAAAACTAAGAACGCAAAGGAATTTATAATAGGTTCCAAATAAATTGTTTTTTTTTCTAATATTTTGGGTTAAAATGATATGAGCATTTCACAATATGTTACGTCGATTTCTAGGTTTTTACCCTTACAAAACTACTTAAATTTTAGAGGCCTAGTTTAGTACACATGATCACGACAAAAATGCGAACATACAGTGTATAACACCCAAGATCAACGCCAACATATTCAGGGTTATTATTGTAGCTTCTCCACAAATGTGGATTTCAATTTCCTGAAAATTAACATCATTTGTGTCAAGACAAAGAAAAATCACCTCTGGCAATAGAGTAGAATAGCTTACCTCAGGATGATAGTTAATGCATTTTGGTGGTCTTCTTCTGTATAGTCCTGGTCTAGGTCTATGGGCACAACCACTCTGCTCCCTGGATTCATACGCCAACTCCTGGGGTGTGATACTGAGCTGCTTACTTCCACAAGGACATAGAGTATCAACAGCTAACAGAATCAAGTTGCTGTGAGGAATTTTCTGAACGCTAAAAGGCCTAAAAATGCAAAACAAAAGTTCATTTTACTTCCTTAGATCCCTTCTGTGTTTTCTAACCTTTCACAACCTGTTACATGGCAGTTGGTGAGTTTTCCTTTGAGAGGGTTGTTCTGGCCACTGGTATTAAGCCTTTGTGGTTGTAAAGCGTACAGCTCCACTTTCCTATCGCACGGTCTTTTGCCCCATTGGCCCAAATCTACTCCCTCCAAAGGATCAGATTCGAAAGGTGGCACAAAATCAATTGGAGGAGCTGGTATAGGATTTTTCTCATCTAAATCCTCCCCAACATTATATTCGTACTCGTAAATTATCTCGTCTTCTTCTTGGGAATATGCAAGGGCCGTGGCATATACTGATTTAATTTTGGAGAAGAGCATCAAGACTACATGAATCATGAAGTTGAAGACCAAATTTACTGGACCTATTGGTTGTAGCTTGCTAGCTTTTCCACTGAAATGATACTTGCTGTTTGAGCAAGAGCCTTGATAGTCGTAGACAGCGACTTTTTTGTATATCCTGTCCTGAACCAGAGAATCCATGATGGTACCGTCGATTTGCCCAAAGAATCTACCAGTATGCTCGTTATTTTCTGATATAATTATGAAGCCGTTATTGTCAAGCACGTAGCAGTCTAATTTGTCACTAGCACATGTTTTCTTGCAAGCTGATGAACCAGTACACTACCAAGAAGATTATTATTTTTATACACATCCATTGAAACAAGCAATTTGATTTTTTACCTTGGAAGTGATATTTAAGAAATGGGCAGCTATAGAAGCGTGTTGGTACTGAAGACCTACCACAGCTGCGGGGGCTCTGTGGCCCTTGTGCTCTACGAATACAGCATGGGCCGCCGTGAGGAGTACTCTACTTGTAGTAGGAGCGTTGGTCAAGCGGTCAGCAAAGGGTACAGAAAAAACGAAGCTTTCTGGCTCGATGGAATGTTGATCTACTGCTCGTCTGTACCATGATTCGTCAAGAGCTCTAGCATTTCTTTGGCTAAATGGCCTATATTTAAAGAAAAAAAAATAATAAGCTTTATCCAAGAAAGAGGAAGAAACTTACGGGTCATCAGATTCAACGTTTGTGAAATTAGTCCAGCGTAACAATCCGCTTCTAGTTGCCACAAAAGAGATTGTTCGACCGAAGATGTCATATCCTTGGCTGCAAATACAACATATTATTACATAATGCCATAAACGAGTCTTCTAAAACTTTTATCAAGGGTACATTTATAGTATGTTTTTGAATATTTAAGGAGATAGATAGTAAGACAAACATATTTTAAGGGTAATTAAGTGGAACGAATAAATTACAACACAAAATCCGTTAGGTAGAAAATTCCGGGAAAATCACAAAACCTATATAAATCAAATTGCCATGTTCAAAATACTTACGACATCCTAGCCAGCTTAATTTATTACATTTATTTTAGCTTGATAAGAAAATCAATGTTTCTTGCTAATTTTCTTATCAGTACAATACAGAATATGTCAATATTTAAAGAAAAAACATATATTCAATGTACTGTATTCTGTACCGTTTAATGTTTTTTTTTGGTGGGATTTTAGCATAACAGGACAGGGATCTTGATCACAATACCAAAATCTTTCTGTGAAATAAATTTGATTTATATGTTTCTGAAGGTTGGACGGTAAAGCATCGAAAGATTTTGGAAAAGCGATCGAAATATATATATATAAAGTTAGAAAACAAATTCCTATACGAACTAAACGTCGATTGTCAGTGAAAATGTTTACCTTTGTAACTGTACCAAAAGAGTGCCAATAGGGCTAATGTGCAGAAAAATAATTAGTAAAAATCGTGAAACAAATTAACAATTATGGTGCAACATATAAGTATCTATTTCTGTTTTAATTTTTATTTCATGAAAGCATGCGGAATAAACCGTATTTTGACACTTACTGCTTATCTTCCATTCGCGGCCTGTGCTTCTCCAGACTCTCCGTTACCATGGCGTCCAAAACTAAAGACTGTAATAAAGTTTTATCGCCTGTAACAAATATTTTCTTTTTGTTTTTTTTTTATACACAGGGCTATGTATTAATCTTACAATAATAAGCATCTTTGTCTTGTTTGGGTGAAAAATGATGGTGTTCTCTTTGTAAGGGCGATCTAGGTCTCAACGACATCCATTTCCAGCCAGGCCTTCTACTTCTGGATAGAAAATGCAGAACACGTTCTTCTGCTGTTTTGAACCACTGTTCTCCTGAAGTGCTGGCAGTATATTCACAGTACACCCTAGCATTTATTAAGTTATTTTTTTTTTGAATCTTACCTAAATACACTTGTCCAATAAATTAACGCACCACATTATTAAATCAGGTTTATTGATATTAAAAAAAAAAACGCCATATAGTAACTTATTTATAGTTGAACTACTTCTTATTACTAGGTTTAACAATGGATTAAGTTTTGTTTAAGAGAAGTGTATTTTTTATTGATTTGAGCAAACTTTCTTACCAATCTGGATGCACCCTCCAATTATTTCCCTTGAAGTAATCCGTTACTGAAATACGAAAAGAATTAATAGTTTACCGAAACCCTTGTATTATGGAGATATTACTTTTCTTACCGTTTTTCTGGCTGTGTTTTATTTCTTGTTCGGCAAGGAGTTCGTACATCCCGTAACCTTCAGGGATGGCCAACCCCAGAGAAAATGGCGTACCTTCTATGGGGTTGTAGAAATATTTATACCTCCTTGTAGTGACTCGCCTCTAAAAATTACATTTCTTAATCTATTTTATTTTGGATTTTTTTTAATCATACCATGTCATCGTAATGGATTTTCACACTCAGTTCCGTCTCACCCTCCTTTTGATTGATCATATCTTGTCTTAGCTGAAATATCTATAATGAGTTTTTGTTGTTATTATAATAGTTAGTGAGGGCTTATTCTTATGGAATCAACCCCTGAATCAAACTCACATCTAAGAGGGCGCTGTGATTTTCTCTAGGACCATTTTCATTTTCTATTAACTCAGCTTCTGATAAATCGACAGAGATATACTGAGGTTCGAGACTATCCTCGTATTGTTCGCTTGTTTTCTAAAAGTTTTAAATGATTAGTTTGCTTAAAGTTATATTTTCTTACGTATTACCGGTGGTTTTAGGTTTGGATGGTACAAGACGTGCCCATTGTTGTTTACTATAAACGAGTAACCATTAACACCGAGCTGCAAAGTGTAAAATCGATTAAAAATGATGATCGTGATGATTTAACTTTATCTTTTCTTACTTTATATGGGGGCACAAGTTTCCTTATTTCATCGATGGAAACATCGGTACCAACGACTCCCAGAACGTTTGCTAAACGTACCTAAAATAGAAAAAGATTCATGTTTAACTGATTTTTAATGATATTTAACAGAAATTACCGAATGATTCCTTCGATCAAATACCGGAGTTGTTACTGTTGTCATCAACTGCCCTATTTTATCATCGGAAAAGCTATCAGCCTGAAAAAAAAAACACTATATGATTTCTTTTAGTTATTTAACTAAAATCAATTGATTACCCTGCCACCCACGTAGGCTGGTGTCCAGTACACAGGGTGGTCATTTTGGTACATCACCATAGGTCTAGCCATCACCTCAATATAATGTAGGACTTTTTGTTTTATTTCGTCATAGCTTTGAATTCTGGCATAGTACCCTGAAACGTTGTTTAAACATACCATTCCATCGTTTTTTGAAACAAGAAATATTACCTTTATTTTCGCAAGCCATCCAATGCATGTCGTTGGCGCTACTTGTATCAGATCCAATCAGATAAGTAAATATTCGAACTGGTCTATGAGGAAAATTATAAATTTTGAAAATATCTTTGTATGTAGATGGTGGTCCATCTGTTACCAACATTATAGCTTGATTACATTGGCACCCCTGTCCAGTTCTGTTATACTAAACACAAAGGAAGATGGTTTTCGTGAAAAAAAAAACACTTTATATCAATTTGAGTTAATACCTTGTGAAGTATTTCGAAACCTGTAATTAATGCTGAAGAAAAGTTTGCGATGTTTTCTTGCTTAATTGTTCCCAAAGAGTCTTTTAGCCACCTAATATTTTCCTCTGTGGCCTATAAAGGAAATTGTATAGTTTTGGCACTGATTTTTTTTGATAAGAGCAGTTACCTGAACCAACTGATCCCTGAAGCATGGCAAGGTCTCGATCGTTTCATCAGAAAATTTAAAAACGTTCACGAAATCGTTATCTGTCAACGTATCCAGAATTGCCTCTACTGCAGCTCTTCCTAAATTGCCTCTGTGTCCCACCATCGAGCCAGAGGCATCAAGCAAAATCGCTATGTCTTTTGGTGAGGTGGCGGCTCCCACGTACCAAGCTGCTGATCTGAAATCGTAGGGCCTACGTCCTGCTCTGGATTCTTGTAAGGTTGACAAGTCTTCCGGGGGCCAAGCTATTCCAGGGTACCGTCGAAGAAACCCTGAGGAACTACCGAAAAATTGCCAGGACAACGACGGATCTCCTTCGTAGTTGCTGACGAAGAGTGGGTCTAAATGAGAGGACCATTGAATAGCTCCAGCCACCTCAGAATCTGTTTAAACCAAAACAAGGTTTTTAAAAAAAAATTGAGTTTACACGTGGTTATTTATACCAGAGTCTTGTACGTTTGAGGGTGTTAAGACTGTACTAAGACTGACATTGACAGGGAGGTGATCGAAGTGGGGGTTTGGTGTGAGTACTAGTTCTTTAGTACCGTCAGCTGGTCGACCATCAGGAGCAAAAGCATTAAGTCTTTCAGCGTTGTAATAGCGAGGTGTTGAGGTTGTACCATCAGGCCTCCAAGCTAAGGCAGCTTGTTCAGCTGAGTCCATAATGCGCTGAAATCATTTGTTGATCACATAAAAAAATTACGCCACAAGCTCCAAAATGTTTAATGAAGCTTACCATGACAGCGCTCATTTTAAAATCCATCATGTTTTTAACTTCGGTTGCCATTTCTCTTATTAAAATCAGTCCATCTTTCCTAACTACGTTTATATCTACGTCGTGGTATTTCTGAAACGCAAAAACCATAAATTCTGAGACTTTCCAGCGTTGAGGCTCTTAAATTATTAGAAATAAGTCGAAAGAGCGGCTAAATAAAACCCATAATTCAAAATAAGCAACTTAGCTATTTTTGCCAGTTAAGAAGATTTTGAAATAAGAACGGGGAAAAAGCATTTCATAAAGGTTTAATTCGTAGAAAAATTTTATTTTTCTAAAAGAACGTATTTTGGAATAGGGTATTTAAAAAATTGGCAATTTTTCATTTTAGCCTTCGTGAAAAATCCTTCGAAAACAAGAGTTCGAAAAATTAATTTTCCTGCAAAACCAAGCCTTTAATGGTGTATATATTCTGGATCTCAGTGGCGGATACAGGGGGAGGGCCCGTGGGGCCCGGGCCCCCCCTAAAGTCTTTGAAATGTGTAAAATATTAGGCTTTTGGGTTAAAAATGGCGCCCTAAAAAGCATATTCTACATTGCTTTTCATTTTGGTCCCCCCCTAAAATAAATTCCTGTATCCGCCCCTGCTGGATCTACATATTATATTTCCCAGAAACGCTGAAATTTTCATAAATTTATGGTTATGATTACTATCTTTCTAATGTTTTTGAAAATGTGTAAAAAATAGCCAAAAATTTGTAATTTTTTGGCCATTTTTGGCGTGAAAATTGGCGATTTTTGTCATGTCACCGATTTTGTTAGAACTGCTATTATTTACTAATTATAAAACGCAGAATAAGAAAACATAAGCCGTTGTAGTCTTACGAGAACCGTAATGGATGTAGGGAACGTTTTAAGCGTCTTCAAAAATAGCTCAAAACAAGGGTCCAAAAAATTAATGTTCTAAAAAAAACGAGAAATCTAAGCCTTGAAAGGTGTATTTATTCTGAATCTACATAAAATTTCCTACAAATGCTGAAATTTTGATAATTTTATGATTATGTTTACTATCTTTCTTCGGAAGACCTTTGGAAATATGTAAAAAATAGCCAAAAATTTGGTAATTTTGCGGCTTTTTTCCATACATATAGTCATGAAAATTGGCGATTTTCGGCACATTCCACTGATTTTGTTAAAATTGCTGTTATTTAATAACTAAAAGTGTAAAATAAGAAAGCATAGGCCATTGTAGTTTTACGAGAACGATAATAGATATAGGCTACGTTTTATCCTTCATCAAAAAAAGCTGAAAAACTAGAATTCAAAAAATGAATTTTCTCACAAAACCAAGGTACCTAAATCTTTAAAGGTGTATATATTCTGAGTCTGCATAAAATGTCATATAAAAGCTGAAAATTTCAACATTTTATGGCGATTTACTATTTTTTTAAGACTTACGAAAACGTGTAAAAAATAGGAATGAATTAACATTTTTTTTTAATTTTAATAAAAAAAGGCAAAAAAATAATATTGCTTGCAAAACATTGGAAATTTGATTGAACGTTGACAATCTCTAAAAATCGACTTAAAACCTCCCGTAGTTTCCCCAGTCAAATTCCTTTCAATTTTTCAAAGGCTCTATTAAACGCAATCAGGTTAACTCTAAACTCATGAATTAATCAAGGCGATTTCACTAAAATTAGGATCACCATTAAAGTTGATTGCCTGGGTAATTTCGATGGAAAAAATCGCCCCGATTTTGACAACACCGCTCGCAAGGGTTGCTTGCGCTGGCGCAACCCCGCACGTGGCCTACTATGCCGCAAACCCGGTGGGTGTCATTTTTTCACGTGAGCCTGCTATAATAATTTTTGATAGAAAAAAAAACGAAAACTTACCCTTTGTAATTCGTTCATTTTTGTCATCATTTTGCCGTATTCCCACAGGCCTACGCCAAATTGTAAGGCCCAATTTCTAACTCTAAAATAAAAATATCCACTTTAAAAAAATATATTAAAGAATCTTTCTTTTTGTAGTCTTCGGTAATTTCTAACTGGACTTTGATATCATTGCTCGGAAAATTATATGAATGTGGTGTGTAGAAAAGCGTGAATTTGTATTGAAAAAAAAACGGAGCTTGTAGAGCTTTAACCTCCCGAGCTTTTGCCAGCCAATTTAGATGAAATTATTAGTTGGCCACCGAGATTGCTTGCGTGTTGTATAATTACAGGTGCTACTCGAACACGGCTCTTTCGACCCTACAAAATACGATTTTAGCGTTATTTTTTCACGTCTCTGTGGCTTCGCAGAAAATGGTCAGCTTCGGTAATTGCGTGTGCTATTATAGAAAAAAACAGCAATTTTTACTGGCCAAATTATTCATATTTCACTCGGAACTAATTTTGTTTTGAACCTAGTACAGGTTAATAAAATATATTATTTTATTAAGTTTTTAATTTAAAAAGTTTTTAAGAATTATTACATTATTCTTTTACTGTTTAGATCTAAAAAAAAGATATTATTTTTATTTAATAACATTTTTCTCAGATACTTATATCAACAAAATTTTCTTTTATTTTCCTTATAAATAACTAGCAAAATTTTATTTCTTTTTATATTATAGGGAGTTTTTATTATTTTTTATTAATTGACAGAATTCTCAGTAATTTTTAAGTTTTTTTAACAGACAGGTTTGTTTCTCTAACAATTTAGAAAAAAAGTAGTGTTATCCAGGTAGAGTTATATAATAGAGTCTGAGGTAGTCCTAAAGGATGGCACTTACTCGTTGTGAGGAATGTCCTCGTCTTGTTCCAAGGCAGCGGACCCTACAAGGGCCAAGAGGAATAGGGCTACTAGGCCCATAATCACTGGCACAACCGCGTATATTGTACTCGCGTTTAGGGTCGAACCGGTTTCCAGTTTTCGCTGGTCATTTTCGTGGCTAGCGTGCCTGGATAGCTTACATAGTAAATCTTGGAGTAGCGGATGTAAAGTGGAATGGACGTGCTTTCCGACTTTCGCTTGCCTGGCGCGTAGTACACACCCGATCTTCCATGAGCGCAATCGCTGTAATTTTAGTCGATACTCTTGCGATGCCGCTTATTCCAGAGGTCGGGGTTGTACACAGTGAGAGAGAGAGAGGGATTTCTTACCCCTTGTCATAATTGGGACACTAACGTGCCCTTTTTTCATATTTCGTTGCACTAGGTTCCAGCTTTATACTTCATCAATCTCGGAAAACATTTTAGTTACCTCGGGAAATTTCCAGATATCCCAACTATTTCGGAAATACCAAAATATACCACTACTATTCCCAAAGTATCTGTTTTATTAATTTATTTATCATACATATTAGTTAATAAACAAACATACATATCCATAATCTTTCCAGAGTTTATATATTCTATCACTCAAGAAATTGATTAAATACTTCTTAAATAATAATAATCGAGAGGAAGATAAAATATTTTATATATCGCCGGACAATAGATTGTTGTCCTATATAAGTTAAAAAATCTTTTTATTAGTTTAGGAAACTCTGGAACAGCTTTCTTTCTTACAAAAAGTTCAAACTTCTGGTAGAAAGCAGTTGCCATGACGTTCAGAGATATGTAAGGGAAAACAGTTTTTCTAATATATTTTTTTTTTGTATTTCTATTTTTTTTCCTTGAAAATTTTGAAAATAAGAAAAAATCATTAGGTGCTAAACCGAATGTGGTAGGCACAGAAGCAATTTGGTATTCTAACTGGTGGGCGTTTTGCCTTAAGAGTCCATTACGCTGTACTGTTCGGTTAGTACTTGTACTGTCTCAGGGGTCGGGTAAAGCGGGTGTGTGGCCGAAGGAAATATATATTATATTTCAGAAATCTGCCTAAGCCCACGGCCACACAGAAAGCGTTTTTAGCGTTTTGCGTTTTTTGCGTCTCAAGCGCTTTTTGTGATTTTACCGTTTTAAACGCTTTTTTCGATTTGTGTCCATTAAAAATACGCAAAAGACGCGGCAGGTCTGCAGTTTCTATCAAGGTGTCAATTAGTAACGTCGCAAGCTCGTGGTTTCCCGGCCCGTCCAACAATCAATCCTGTAAGAAAGAGATAGGCGAGATTGGCGCCGTTAGCGTTGAAGTGACGAAGATAAAAGATGCTGGGATTGAATTGTAGACGGGCCGGGGCATATATTCGGAGACAAACAATCTACTGCTAGTGGCCAGTGGTGTGTGTAAAAATAATTATTATTATTTGCCATTTATTTTACGAATTTTAGTTTATATGTGTACAGTTTTTTTATGTTGTAGTGTTGTGGTTAGTACTTGTTATAATAATTATAATATAATATAATAAATAATTATAATTATATAATAGAATAGTAAATATTTATAGTTACTAATACAATTTTAGGACATGATTTATGAAACATTTTGGAGTGAAACTTCTTTACGCGCGCTGGGAGTAAAAACTCAAGGACGTGACATACGAGTTAGTGAGACGGCCCTGACACGAGCTCGTTGTAACGAAACGTATTAACGGCTTAGAAATACGTAGTGACGCGACGTGTATTTGTGAGCAGTTCACGTGTTTATCAAAAATATTGATATTTTAATAGAAATTTTGTAAAAGTGAATCAAATTATTACGTGTAAAAAACTATTTTTATTATTTTACGCGAATAAAATTGTCACAGTTACGCTTTGTTAACACTTAAAAAACTATTTTTTAGACGTATAAAACTATTTGTTACTGGTAGAAAACTATTTTTTACGCGTATAAAGCTATTTGTTACGTGTAAAAATATATTTATTACAATACATATTATACATTTATACAAATACTATTTTTTACGCGTCAAAAACTTATTGTTTCTGGTAGAAAACCTTTGTTACGCAAAAAAAATATTTTTTACGCGTAAAAAACTATTTGTTACATGTAAAAATCTATTTTTTACGCGTTAGAAAATATTCCTTTAATTTATTACTTTTTTGCCATTTCAAACTCTACTTTTTCAAACCATTCCTTCAAATTTTTGAATTTAATAGAATCTTCCTAAACAGTAGATGTTCTTTATAAAACTATTTTTAGATAATACCCTAAAATGAAAAAAAATGCATACTATTTAGTTTATTTTTATTTTATTATTAAATATAACGTGCGCCTATGACGGGGTCTCATCTTAGAAAACGCTAAAGACGTCACAGAAAACAAACTGATTTGTTTTCATTTGCGTTTTTTGCGAGACACGCCGAACGTTACACGCTTTTGGTGTGGCCACTCCTATATAATCCTGTTATTTTGTTTTAGTCACTAAAGACGCTTCACGCTAAAAACGCTTTCTGTGTGGCCGTGGGCTAAGGCTTAGCCCGATCCTGTCGTGTTAAGCTATACCCAAAAATCCAAACGCACGTGATTTGGTTAAGGCTTGATTAAGGTTTGCAGAGCTTAAGCATTTGCCAGAAAATAGCGAGCAATTTGTTACAAAACCATATAAATTATATATCACTGTAATCACAAAACTTCAACCTATTTCCGTATTGTAACGGAATTTTAAATTATGTCTTTATTTTCGAGAAAATTTAGTCCAAACATAAGGAATATGTTGTTGATATTTGACCATCAAAATATTAAAAATAAAGACGTTGTCTAAAAATGTGCTACAATACGGATATAGTATAGTCCTTTATCTTTAATTTCCTTCTTCATTTGTGTAAAAATACCTAGCCAGTTTTACATAAAACGTTAAATGCCGTACGCTTAAATGGACTCTTAAGTACTTATAATACAGCCTTGGTAATTGACAAAGGGGGAAATATGGCTGTCTGTGATTTGTCTGGAGTGAATTCATGAACAGTGTCTGTAATAGAGCAGACTTACTTTCCTTTTCTTAAAAAAATTATATTGTATTAATTTCTATATTTTCTTGTCTTGAAAATTTTGAAAATAAAATAATTACTAGGTGCTAAATCCGGTGGTATTTTGCTATATGTACTCATAATACAGCCCTCGTAATTGACAAGAAATTTAACATGGCCGCTTGTCACTGTCTAGAGGAATTTCATGAACGATCGATGACTAAAATGGAGCAAACTTGAAATAATAATGTGATTTTGTGGCCAGTTTACTGTACATAGGTTTTGAAAAATTGAAACGCAAAGTTTATATAACAATTAGGTACATATTTATTAAACATTTTACACTGGGAAAAGAAATGTTAATTAAATGTCAGTAATTTAAAATCTCGTAATGGGTGAATATTTGTTATGAAACATTTGGGTCGAATTATTTTGGGAGTCCTCCGAATGATTGCTGGACATAGATTTCATTCCATATGCGAAATCTTTCCTGTAGTTGCCGTTTCCAAAATTCGACCCTGCAAATGGATGTTGTTCAAGCGACATATAGATTATTTATTAAACTTTATTGATTTTGTTACCTTTGGCTTTAGGCATATTGCAAGTCACTTCCGGATGTATAGTAGTGGGTTTAAAATACCGAAAGTCTGAAGTGAACTTCGAGTGGCCTCTATATTCTTTATAATCCCTTTGAGCTTGCCTGTACTCCGACAGTTCTCTTGTCACGTGAAGCGTCATTTTACTCTCGGATGTTTCGTTTTTTCTTATCATCAGGTCCTGAGATTTTGGAGGTTGTGGGGAAGAGGAAGTGGACGATGATAGGGCACCATCAGGCTCCTGTCTTTCTTCTGTTTTTATTGTAATATCTGGTGGTAAACTTGTCCATTGATGATCATCCATTGCATATAGTCGAAGTTGCTGCCGAATATTAGCCTTCTCTCTATAAAAAATAAATTTTTAGTTCCTCAGAATGGCATTAAAAAAGTTATATATAAACTTACTTTGCTCTTTTCCTCTGGAATTCCTCTTCAACCCTTTGCATGGCTTCCAGTTCTTTGATACGCTGCTTTTCTTTTTTCTCAGCCTCTTTAGATAACTTCTCCGCCATCCTCCTTCTCTCTATTTGCCTTACCGTGCTCTGAAAGGTGAACTTTTTAGGTTTCTTGGATCTGTCTTCAGTAGACCACAAGAAGTCTAAGTCACTTTTTGGGTCTCTTAATGATTCTGGTACCCTAAGTTCTTCGCAGGATTTCGAAAATACTGATAAAGGGTACTTTTCTTCCACCGGTGACTCTCTAGGTGTAGTATTAGGTAAATACATGAGCCTAGAAGTTGAGGAAGTGTGAGGAAAGGAAGCTTCAGGTATGTCAGAAGAATTTTCGTTTAGAGAATTCGGCGCGGATCGGCTGAAAAACCAATTAGAGTCTTCTGGACTGACAGGGGGTTTCTTTTCTTGTTCTTTCTTATTGGATAACGTGCTTAGAACTCCCGATACAGATCTTTTTAGTCTCCTAAGGCTACTAACGCCGTTTCTGGAGGATCCCATAGCGGCAAAACTGGCAAGCTGATTGTCTCGTGGAAGGGATAAGCTGAAAACGTGAGGTCTCGGTCTGCTATGTCTGGGAGTCTCTCTTCTGGTGTCTTCCAAGCTTGAATCATCTCCTAGGTCTTGTTGTGGCGTCCATGACAAAGGCGGAGGAGCTCTTGCATCGTCTGAAATCCCAGAATCGTGAGACCGCGAATCTAACAGTCTCCAGGCTGCTGCTGGTGAGAATCGCGGGACTTCTGGGGGTTTTCGAGGCAGGACAGGTCGTAAACGTAGCGCAATAGCAGGATTCTCGTCGTCATCTTCTATTGGACAGTTGCTGGATATTTCTGAGTCTTCATGGTCCATTCCAAAATAGAAAGCCCTGGGTTTTGGCGGTTCTGGTACTCCTAAGACCGGGGATGTTTCAGGGGTGGACGATTCCTTACCGGAAGGCTCACCACGGGTACATCGTTCTTCTGATTCGTGAACACGGTTTGAAAGAGGTCCTTCCGGAATACCGAAAATATTTTCATTTTCCTGGAATCCTTCCTCGACTTCTCTACTTGTTTTTGTAACTCTCAGTCGATCGGTGGCTTCTCTAAGCTCCTTCTGAAACTCATCCGACTCAGCGATGTTGAATTCCGGTAGAGACAGTCTATTGGGCCGTAGGTTTCCTACATTCTTTTCTTGAGCGAGTATTTTTTCTTCTACCACATCAGGAGTGGACTCTGTTTGATCTGAACGAACGATCAGTTGACTAGATTCTTTTTTAGTTTCCGCTCTTGTTTTGAACAAGCGCGTTTTCCTTGTGACGTAGTCGTCATTGTAGGACTCTGACCAGTCTCCTGATCGATGCCCTTGCTGAAAAATCGTAGAAAATTAATTTAATAATCCAGAAAAACAGGAATAACTTACCGGTTGTCTACAAGGAGGCGCGGGTGCTTTATATTTCTTTTTGGACTTTCTTTCTTTCATTTCTTTTTCAGGCGGTTGTAGACGTAGGTCTGGCTCGGACTTGAAAGACTTGACTTGAGACTTGAAGGATCTTTGGTTAGTGGCATTTTGACGGTTTTGATAAGGGTTACTCGTTCTCAGGCCGGTTTTGTGAAAGGAATATCTTTGTGCGGGCAAATAGTGTCTTGATTCCGGCTGTAATTTAAGAAACAATTCTATTAAAAGTGTTAGAAGTTTTAGAAATGTATTTTACGCTTCTCAAAGGGCTTTGATGCCTTCCACTGAGCGTGCCTCCTGACTGCAGGATTTCCCCGTTGTCCGTGGAACGCAGGTTTTGCCGGGAGCCTTGTTCGGGAAGGACCTTGTGCTGAAGATGAGCTCCAGGTTTGGGGTAGGATCGAGGCCAAGGCTCTGTGTCGCTTTTAGCACTCGCTTCTGACCTTAACGAAGTGTTAAACCGCGCCGTGCTAATCTGACCCGTTTGACTGTTTATATTACCCATTACCTATACGATTTCGTTGAGACATAGTCTGAAATGCGAGATGAAAAGATTATTATAGTAAACTTGTCAGGCGCGTAAGGAAATTATCGACCTCTATCATTAATAAATATTTGCCTACATATTTCTTCAAATTGAATTACTGTAAAATATACACGGATTATGTATCCGTGTCACACAAACATAAGACTGTTTTCTATTAGTTCCGTTTTAACGAAATCTTTTTTATTTATTTTGGGAAAATGTCCGATCAAGAGCACATCAGCTTTTTAAGTTGAACTGTTCTACAGGGTCCTGCAATAATGCGTCGGGTATCTGTAGCTCCTAGAATAAAAAAATTGGGAATTTTGTTTAAGTGCAGACCTAAAATACGATGTATTTCCGGAAAATATTTTAACTTCTACAGGGTGGCTCAAAAAGCGTGAGAGGATCGGGACTGAATTGACTTCTTTTAAATGGAACACCCTGTATACTATTGCATCTTTGGCTTTCTTTCAGATCACTTTACATAATCCTAAGATATGAGTAAATATATTTCGATAGTTTCAGAGATATTAATAAATAAATAAAAAAAATTGAGCCACCTTGTAGAAGTTAAAATATTTTCATGAACAAAATTCCCAAGTTTTTCTTCTAGGAGCTACAGATGTCCGGACGCACTATTGCCGGACCCTGTAGAGTAATTTCATGGTATTTTATTGTTCTGGCTAATCTAACAAATTTCATATTAATATATTATAGATTACAGCAAGAATATTACTTAATTTTTTCTATATATGACTCATTTTTTTAGTTTTACTTTAATTTCAGCACACATATCATTACAACAATAGGAAGTTTTCTTTACATAACTTCCTTACTACTCAAGGACATATGGTTCTTATTTAAATACATATCCTTTGGTGCTTTCAACCTACCATCATTGTTAGACGTCTTTTAATATACAGAGGGTTATTAAAAATATCTCTTCTATTTTCTCTGCTGCCTTTCCTTTAGTTTTACGATATGTTTTTAATTAGTTATTCAAATGACATAATAAAATATCGTGGAAGAAAAAGTAATAAAAATACATTCAACTAAGTAATCGAAACATTAACAAACTTATACGGCAAATCAGTGAAAGTGTTTATTTATATTCTTTGATTGGTTTTTTCCCTGTCTACATTTTCTCTTGAAATTCTATTGGAACAAACCATAGATAGGTATGTCGGTACGAATTGTAGTACTTTTCATTTTTTTCCAAGTCAATCGCTCCATAACGATTACTTAGCAAAATATACTCAGGTTGTTGACTTTATTTGAACAGGTAATCATTATTAAAATACTTTGATTTGCTGTTTTGCATATTCAGTTCGATGTTTACCTCTAAATAAGATATGATCGTACATAAGTAAATTTGAACAGCCCAATAGATCCATATTGTCAAGTCAGCATTGTCCTGATAAGTTGACTGTATATTTTTTTCTATATTAATCCAACTCTTGCATTGAAACAATTCTATCATAGTACATTGATAACGTAGCAAGCAATAAATTTGATTATTAAAATTATTATCCTAGCGCAGTGATAGGGTTGCTAATAAATTCAAACCGATTGAAGTTATCTTTGATTTATTATTTCTCATATATAATTTTATTTTGAAATTATTCAACGCAAGAGAAATCTATTATGGATGTTAGAGGAAATTATTACTTCACGTTCTCACAGTTGCTTTATTTTGTTTTCCGCCTGTCAATACTCTTTTATATACTCATTTAATTGTTTCTGATAAAATCTATAATAACACACAAAAGAATTTTTATAAAAACCCCAATTTAACAAAAACAAAATCGAATTAGCCCTTCTAGAATATTTAATTTGCTTTTAGAATAATTGCTCTAGCTAATTGCATCAAATATTCATTACATGTTCAAGGAAATTGCTTATAGAAAACGGTCTCTTTTTATTAGTTTATTGAAAGATTTATAGGAAATTCTAGTAATTAAATACTCATCAGTATAAATATCAATTTTGAAATTAATGTAGATTATAATTTAATTATATTAAATCGATTTAGCGGTTAAGATTTTTTTTTGTTTTATCCTTTTATTTAACAAAAATATTTAATAATAATTGTGTCTCGTCTTCCTAACTAAAGCAGACTTTTTTAACCTAGAAAAACGGAAAAAAATGATCAAATCATTAAAAGTTATTTGTTGATTTGTTAACGACTTCATAACTATCAGAGTGTAAAAAGCAGTTTAGACAGTTACTAAAAAAAGAAGTGAATTTTTAAATTATTATGGTTACAAGTGCTAAACAAACCGATTTAACTGTTCGCGATAATTTAAGTCAAACAAACCCGTTAAATTTCATCTAGCATCTCCGAAATATTCCTCATTAACACTCTGGGACATTATTTAATAATCACTTTTTGATGGTTCAATAACAAAAACTTGTTACGTAGTTTCAAATAACGCACCTGGGCGTTTAAGTTATTTAAAAAACAGTTTTCTCCAAATTATATATTTGACAGTAATCAATATGCTAAATTATACTTGAATTTTTATGAAATACTAAATTAATAACTTCGAAAGGAAATTTATGTAAAAATATAGCCAGTTAGATAATTTGTTTTCTCTAGAATCTGTGTCCGATAAAAGTATAATAAATTTAATAAGATTTCAATCAGTCTTAATTCAAAGTGATTGTTTTAATGTCAAACTAGATATATATCTTTTCGACAAGCTAACAATAATCTTTATATTTATGTCTTTCTGTTTCTATTATTTATTTATTTCTTAAAATATGATGCGGTTTATTTAGAAGAAAGCAGGCATAACTTTCTCAGCTTATTTATTTATGATTTAAAGAAAATGCTCAAGGACAATAGTTATTTTTTCTCATTTTAATTAAATTCGCTTCGGATTGTTTCCAGTAAGATTCGAGTTGGTTTGTGGATATTTCTGAATATCTAATCCTTATAATTAATTAAAATAATGATCTGCTTGTTGAAATTTCAAATTTCTAGTCCAGCCATGTTCGGCATTCCCTCGTCCAATAACAAAAAGGTCTAATTAATACATTTCCAATGGCTAATTAGATTTTTTTAAGCGGGTTACGTACTTATATGAATACACACATCGCATAAGTATTCTGAGACAAAATACAAAAGGAACTTTCTCATAAGGCGTGGCTCATGTCGGTATCGACTATAAAACAGAATGAAAGTGACCACCCATTGAAAAATGCAAATCGGAAATGTATAACTCAAAGATGCTGCAAAATGCCGTTCCCAAAACACCTGCCAGATAGCCCTCGAGAGATTCTTTCATTTTCACTTTTTTATATACTCCTCACCTTATCTTGGTGTTGAGTAAGAAATATTTGATACTATCTTATGTAACAAGATTTTTATTTGAATATTTATTTGTTTTTACATTGAATATTATAACTCTTTAGAATAAAAATCTATGATGATATCCTGCTTGTATTTGGATCTATTTTGTAATAAAATTGATTTTTATCAAAACATATCCGCGCATTGAAAGTCTGAAAAAATACATGCCAGGCTGTGTTTCAAAAGTTTGTGATTTACATATCATTACAATGGGAACCTTTCATTTGGCAGTGCGGATTTCACAACTAAAAGAGTATTGTTAAAACTGAATAGAAAATTTAACAATCTTTTAAGAGAAAATGATCCGGTAGGTATTTTAAATTAGGATGCAATTTTATATGCAACCTGCATTGAAATATATATTCTATCAAAAATTGCTGATTACTTTTTGTGGAACTTTAAAAAAGTACAGGATGTTTCAAAAAAGGTGTGCCATCTCTCGTGGTTAGATTCCTCACGTAAAAATAAGATTTATTTTTTATATCAACATTTCCGATTCTGCTTTGTTTCGTAGATACAGGGAGTTAAAAGTTTACTTCTTTTTTTCGACTTATTATAATTTTCATCCTAGTGCTTTTAGCGATTGGAATGAAATTTTGACATTGATTCCCCATCAAAAAATATGAAAAAAAGTTTCTATAAACATGGGTGCGGAAATGTTAAAACAAAAAAAACTTTTAAAAAATAGGTCTTTAGTAATTATCATAAATATCATTATATAATTTTTGGGGAATTTGTTTTGTAGGGACACCAGTGTTATAAATTTTAACAAAATTTAATAATAAATTAGATCAAATAAATACTTTATTAATTTGATTTTTATTTTAATTTTATTAATTGTGATCCAGGAGATCAAAATGGAGAAAATATAAAGATACGACTTTTAATCGACCTTAAACACTTTTACCCTCAACATTTCATCCCAATCGCAAAAATCACTAGGAAGAAAATTATAATAAATCGAAAAAAATTAAGACTTTAATCCTCTGTCGCCATGAAACAAAGCAAAATCTCGGAACTATGTTGATATAAAAAATAAATCTTATTTTTACGAGAGGAAGTTTCCCGCGAGAGATTGTACATGTTTTTTGAAACACTCTGTATACAGTGTTATTTTTGGTGTTAATAGACATCGAAACTCTGCTAAATAATTATTTTTCTTATTAATTTATTGATTTATCAGTTTAATTTTCTTTCTCTAGAATTGATCTGAAAACCTTTCAGACATCAAGTAAAAAATATTTTAATTACATACACAGAACTAGTACAGCTTTTTTAGCTTATGATTAAAAAAGTTTTATATAAGTTATGTTATGTCATATATGTATTACATTCCTGTGGTATAGTCGAGCTTTTATGCTTTTTTTATTTTCTAAACACTCAAGAAATTAAAGTATACAGAATTATAATTTTGTTTGCAGAAATAATAAGTGAAAGAACTAATAGAAAGCCATTCGCTTATTCTAACGAATCGTTTTTTGGTTAAATTATCACTGGTTTGTTAAGAAACATTTGCGTATATTGTCGATAACATTAGAGAAAAATTATAAACAATAGGAGAAGATGTCAAAACTTACATGCAAAGAAGATCATTTGTAGCGTTTGTAGTCCTTTCAGTCTTTTTGTCACCCGCAGAACTAAATTAAGTGGATGTTGTGTTTGAGAAAATTTAGCGCTATTAACAATGTAACGCACCACGAAAAGAAAGAAACAGGTACACTGACACTGGCATGTTAAAATTTGACGTTACGTATACCCAGGTACGACTTTCACTATGCACTTCACTTCAGTACTGCCTGTGTCTACAGTTAAAAAGTACAGAACTAGCGGTATCCAATTTACCTAGAGGGGAATTCTTTTACCTAGGCTCATTGAAAAGTACCCGCATCTTTGCAGCATCAGCACCGCGTGCTTCTAGCATACCAGGTTACTTGAAACTATCTCTGCCCACATTCTTTTGCTGCCACCGGTCACCGGTTTATCTAGGAGCTCTTGCCTTCGGCATTCCTTATTTGATAAACGCGCTCGAAAAATACAAAATCCTTACAATAACATTACCATTTGTTCACCTTGCACTTGTTTTATTGAGGTCCTACTTAAGAAAAATTCATTTAATGGTCAATGAGTTGTCCGCAAAGGTAATTCCAATTTATAGTTCTGTTTTCTGACCTTATCTGGCAGTTTTTTTTATTATTTCGTTTCGACTCACCGGTTTGAATATAATAATATAAGTAAGTTGTTGTTATTCACATTTTATTTTGTTTAGTTTATTTATATTTACAGTTATGTTACTATGTAGTAATTTATTATTAATAAATACAATTATTTATTTGAAATTAGTTTTTATTTAAATTATTTCATTTTAAATAGGAAGACTGCTGTGGCGACATCTTTGTTTATTTAAATAAAGGCTATGAAAAACTATAAATTTCAATTACAGTTTTCTATATGCGTCATCTGTGATTTGTGCTTTGGACATTTTTTATTTACAGGTTTCTGTAAAGTTTGTTTTTAGTTCGAAAATCTAGAATTTTGAAATTCATGACAGACCTTGAACTCACGTTGTCAGAAAATCTTGAGAAACGTCAAATTCGTCAAAGTTTTTGTGTACTAAAGTACATATAAAAAGTTCTTAATAATTGTATAAAAAATAATTTAAAATCATGGCTATATTTTAGTTTTAAATCAGTAGTGAAAATTGCAGAACCATTCTTGAACTTATATGAAAAGTTTGCTGCTTCGAAAACAGTTATATAAACCACCAGTCAGGGAACCTTATTTTGTCCTCAAAATTTAGTTAATGGAAGAAGATAATTAACCCATCGTTGATACCAATTAAAAACTAGGAATAGGATTTTCAAGGTACATAACGACGTAGTCATTTTGTGCAGTGAAAAAGTACCTTTTTCTTGGAAAAGTGTTTGTGATTGATATTTTGTTTTGTCATTTCGATTCAATATGGCCGATAGCGTACGTATTAAATTGTGCAATTTTTAACAGTTATCGTCCGTGAAAACACACTTCTAGCGTTATTTTATCAAAATTTCGCTTCAAAAAATAGCTGCCATCCATCTGAAACTTTGCATTATCAATCTCATTAAAATTGCTGAGTAATTGTGAGAGCAGTCATTATGTGCCATTTCAATCCCCAAATAAAACCAACGGAAATTTGTTCAATAACAAAGGTAAAGTGCGTTTTATCAGAAGTGCTTTCGGATATGTGCATTTCATTATTTATATCCTTTTTTATTAATAGCATTTTTTGTGTCAGGTTTTTTTTTGTTTATACTAGCTTTTCTTTTTCTTGGATTCAATTTGTGAGTGGCTATCTTTGTCAGATGATCACAATCAGCTGATACAATAATTTAATAAACAACAAACTGACCTAATAAGGTTCCTTTGTCTCTATCTTTTCAGAAATAAAATGATGTGGAAGTGATCTTTTATCAACATGAAAATAGACAGATCGCGGGTGCGTAAGAGCACCTCCGAGGTGCCAGCTGAGTGCCAGCAGCTTATTGAAAGACTTCAACAATGTTCAAGAACTGAACTTCTCGAGGAACTATCGAAAATTAATTCGTGGACTTTTGGAAAATGTGAGCTGCTCCATTGGGCGCAAGTGTTGGATATATTCGATGCTATTCTGGGTGAGGCTGCTGAGAAGAATGAAGACAATAAATGGGCTCTGAAATGTGATAGTTTTATTGAAAAGGTATGTACAGAACAATGTTTTTGTGTACATAAAGTGTTTAGTAAACTGGAAAGACTATTTTCTTAGATATCTTTAAGTTAAATTTTGGCTCTTGGCCTACCTAATGTAATAAAAATTTTAATACAAATCCAACTTTACGTGCTCTGGCTGGCAAAGTACCAAGAATTAACTTTGATACATTTTACTTTATTTTCCAAAATTAATAAGTTTCTTTCTATATTTATTTTTAGTCATTCTTCAATTGATAAACAATGTAAATACTATAAAAAAATTCTTTTAATTATTTTTCAGGACAAAGAAGTATTAATATGTATTCTGAGGTTTACAAGTTTACTAATAGAGCACTCATTTTCCCGGCACTTGTACAACTCTATGGAACATCTGTTAGTTTTGTTAACTTCCAATGATATGAACGTTGTTCTAGAAGTACTAAATTTGTTGTACATGTTTTCTAAACGTAGCAATTTTATCACGCGACTTAAGACTGAAGAAAAAGAATGCCTTTTATCTCGTTTACAATACTTGGCAGAGGTAAAACGATTTTTTTGATTTTAGATAAATATATTTCATCAAAAAAATTATTTATAGAATTGGGGTGGAAAAGAAAATGGTTTTGGTCTAGCAGATTGTTGTGACCAATTTAAGAGCATCCCAAGTTCCGCAACAACTTTACATGTAGAATTTCACAGGGAGGATTCCAAGGCTCATAAAAAAGATTCAGCAGAAAGCAACTCAAAAGGAACTAAACAGAACCTTCATATTATCCATATAGAGCACATTGACAAATTAGCATCTAAAACCCCTGCAGAGATCATGAAATCACTCATTAGTCTATATTATGTCCCACCTGAAAAAGAGGTAAATATATAATGTATGGAGTAAATATACTTTTTTAATAATTTTATTCTAGATGTGGCTTTTCACTCATGTCAGATTAGCAACTCATTTTGCTGATTATGATAAAAGACTTAAGTGTGTCCAGGCAAGATTACAAGCTCTCTCAGTCTTGGTGTACTCCAATGCTATTCAAGATTTACCATCAAATTTGTTGTATAATGGAATCCTAGAGGAGTTGGTTGAAGTTGTTGAGCTTCAGGATTCACAGTTGACTGATATTAGATGCGCTGCTTTAAGGACCTTAACAGCAATCATCCATTTGGACAGAAATACTCAATTTCCAAAGTAAGTTTTTTTTATATTTTTTTATTGTTTAGATAAAAAAAGTTCAGGTCTTTGAATTATTTTTGATTAAATTTTATAAATTACAGTAGAAGATCTGGATCAAGGTTAAACAATATAATAGATGTAACTGGAGCTAGTCAGTACCATGGTTTTCTACCAGTTTTAGTCAGGAACTGTATTTCATCACTAACTAGTCAAAAAGAAAATGAAGATAATATCCTAGAGAAAACAAAGCCCGAAGATGACATTCTAAAACCAGCGGATTCAGAAGAAAGTGAGATTACCAATGGTCCAGATGTTCATTCCAGTGAAGAAGAAAATCCTAATGAAGGTGGCCCAGCTGTTCTGTCCAATGAAGAAGAAAAACCTAATGAAAATCTAGAAACCCAGAGTAAACAAGAAACTAATGAGGAAAAAAGGTCAGAAGAATCAAATGAAAAGGATGAACCCATCAAGGAACAAGAACCTGCTGAAGAATCACAACCGCAAACCGATTTGGAGGAGGCTGAAAATGCTTTGAAAGCCATGACAGTCTCTGATCCAGCTAAATTTCCAGTCAGCCTAACAACAGCTTTGTTTTCTTTTTTATATCATCTTGCTAGTTATGATGAAGGTGGCGAAGCCCTGGTATCATGTGGTATGATGGAATCTCTACTTCAAGTCATTAATTGGCAAGGATCTGAACTTGATCATATAACAGTAAGATTTATTTTTATTTGTAAATTAATACTGAGTTGTTATTGTCAAATATTTTTAGTTTGTGACAAGAGCTGTAAGAGTTATAGATCTAATAACGAATATCGATATGCAAGCCTTCCAAAATCACGCAGGTTTGCATAGTTTTATTAATCGTTTGGATGTGGAAGTGAATTTCTGTAAGAAAGATCAACTTTATGAAGTAAAATTTAACAGTTTTGAAGATGCTTCTGCCCAAAACTCTAATGAAGAATCAAATTCTCTTGATCTTGAATATATCGCATCAAATTCGGGAAAAAGTTGCCTGCCACAACGCGCGGCTTTATTAAAATCAATGTTAAACTTCTTAAAGAAGGCTTTTCAGGCAAGGAAAAATTAAATTTTAACATAAACATTTAGTGCTAATATATATATTTTTTTGTGTTACAGAATTCAGCATTTTCAGAAAGCATCCGTCATCTAATGGAAGGTCCTCTACCTACAGCATTAAAAAATATTATAGCTAATGCAGAATATTATGGTCCTTCATTATTTTTATTGGCTACAGATGTAGTTACAGTTTACGTGTATCAAGAACCAGCCTTGCTTTCAGCTTTGCAAGATAATGGACTTACCAGCGTTGTTCTTCACTCCTTGTTAGTTAAAGAGGTAGGAATTATAACCCACATTTTAAACGTTTGTTAATCTGATTTTATAAATAAACATTTGGATGATACACAAATAAAAGTATTATTTTTTTTTTCTTTAAATTTTGGTAATCTTGTAGACAAATTTTAACTGATTATTTTTTTTTATAAAATAAAGATTATACAAGGTTTGTCATCAGATTCTTTTATTCTAGGTCCCTGCAACTCGCGAAGTCCTTGGTTCTCTGCCAAACGTATTTAGTGCGCTATGTCTCAATGCTCGCGGTTTGGAATCTTTTGCAAAACACAAACCCTTTAACAAACTGTTCCACATACTATTATCACCGACATATTTAACAGCCATGCGCAGGAGAAGAAGTTCCGAACCGACCGCTGACACGGCCTGCAACCTAGGAAGCGCTATGGACGAGCTAATGAGACACCAACCTAGTTTACGTCAAGACGCCACTCTAGCCATCATATGCATATTGGAAGAGTTAGTTTTCTTGGGATCCGATCCAAACTACGTTTGCTGGAGACCTCACGGTCGTACCGAACCTGTTGGTACCACTGCTGGTAGAGCACCAGCCACTGAAGGTTCTTCAGATGAAGAAGAGGAAGATGAAGATGAAACTTCGACCAGCTCTCAGAACGCCAACGCGCAGTCGCAGAATGACAGCACCAGCGGTGGTAACCAACAAAATAGTTCAGGAAATGAAAGACAGCCCATTGCTCTAGTTGATTATGTTCTTAACGCCATGAAATTCATCGACGCTATCTTGAGCAACAATTCCACTGACGATCACTGTCGGGAATTTGTTGAGAAAGTATGTTTTCTAAAAAAAATAACAAATATATTATACTTTATTTTTTATTTTTATTTTTAGGGTGGTTTAAGACCACTCCTGCGTCTTTTAGGCCTGCCAAACCTTCCAGCTGATTGCCCAGCTACAAATCCAGCTCAAGCTGTCGCTACAGTTTGTAAAAGCATTCTAAACCTAGCTCAAGAGCCATTTTTATTTCAAGAAGGGCTTCGTCAACTTAATGGAGTCTTGGATAGATTAAAACCTCTCTGCGCTCCAATGGAGGAGAGCAAAACTTCAATGGGAGGCTCCAGACTGCTCATGGAACTTGCCAGCACTTCTGACGCATCAGCTGCGTTCAGTTCTGCGCAGGCGACGCCTTTGCTCCATGCCATGGGAGCTGCGCATGGTTATGTACTTATGTTTGTCCACGTTTGCCGGACTGGTCAGACTGAAATACGCAGTTTGTCGCTGCAGCATTGGGGCTCAGATGAAGGAGCTAAAGTTCTCAAAGGTCTTATTCATTTAAAAAAATAAATAATGTGTAACTTCTTTTTGCTATTACAGGATTAGCAGATTTATATACAGCATTAGTGTGGGAGAGTACTCTTTTACTTGCTTATTGCAGCGATGATTTGATACCATCTGAGTGTGATTTTACGCGTGAAAGCATTGAGAAATTAAATCAGTTCTTTGACAGGGTAGGAAAACATAAAAATTTGTTCTGAATAGTAGTTATAATTATATTAATATTTGTTTAGTGTGAGACAACTCAAAATGTAGGAGCAGACACTGCAACAGCCTCTACATCCACCTCAACCTCGACCATAGACCCTCTCTCTGCTACCAACCCTATTATGGATGTTGATGCAGCAGAACAAACAAAGCCTGACAGTAGAAATTTGAAGTACATCAAGCCACTTTTAGGCGCTTCATCTCGCTTAGGACGAGCCTTGGCTGAACTATTTGGCCTCTTAGTTAAACTCTGTGTTGGCTCGCCTGTTCGACAGCGACGCGGTCAGAATATTATAGCTGCCCTTCCTACTCCTACACCTCAAGCTAGAAAGGTACATTCAAAATTCCCCCAAAAAAATATAATTCATATTATTAATTTATGTAATAGGTCGCACGAGCTTTAAACACATTATTAGCCAAAGGATTAGATTGTGATTCCCTCCCACCGTGCCCAACACCGAAATGTCGCCTGACTTTCCTCATTTGCAGCGTCGGCTTCACTAGCCCTATGCTTTTCGACGAACGACGTTATCCTTACTACTTAATGCTAAAAAAATTCGTCAACATGGGCGGCCAAGCGATTTTTTTCAAGACCTTCAGATGGGCATTACAGGGCATTGACGAAAGTACTGGCTCTGAAATCACCTTCCCAGAAGGTACCTTAGGGTTTCTTGATGCCTGGCTCACACTTTTAGAAAAAATGGTCAATCCCAAAGCTATTTTAGAGAGTCCTCACGTCATTTCGACAAGGGCGAACGCTTCGTATAATTTCGACCCTTTAAAGTATTTGATACAGATTCACAGGCTGGCGTTTGACAGTATAGAAAGATTGTGGAAAAATATACCAGTAACTTGCTATGGAAATCGCATTACCGAGACGATTTTGACGATATTGAGGCATATATATTGGGGAGAGAAAATTATAAAGGAGAAATTGAAACAGGAAGAGTCAAAGACAGATCAGGCAGCTTCTAGTAATGGCGGAGCGGTGAGAGATAATGATGATAATTTGAGGCAGTTGGTGGACATGGGATTTTCGCGCGAGCATGCCATAGAAGCGCTACTGCATTCTAGTACTTTAGAGCAAGCCACGGATTATTTATTGACTCACCCACCTCAGGCAAGGGCCTCCACCTCAACAGTAGATCCTGAAGGAGAAGATGATCAGGTACGCTTGTTAATTTACAATATTTTTTTTTATTTCTATGTGTACTTTACTTTCTTGTACCACTTAAATATGGTTAATTAAAAAAAAACGTCAATTTTATTTAAAAGCTTTTTCTGAATTTAGGGACTATTATTTTTTGTTGGAATTTATCTGCAGGGTGGCCAAAAAGTTCACAACAAATGAGAAAATATTTTTTTATTATTGATTTATTGAAAACAAATTTATGCAGCATGCAATTACTTTAATTCAGCATGCCCAATAACTAAGGAACATAATTTTAACATAGATATGTCATAGCGGGAAATTACAAATAATTGTAATGGTATTGCGAACTTTTTGGAACACCTTGTGTGTGAAAATTAAATAAAGACTGTTATGTGTTTTGATCACTCGTTTTTTATAATGTTCTATTGTCTATTTTTTGTTTTATTTAAAGGTTCTCCAAGCTATTGCAATATCTTTGGGTTGTAATAGTAACAGTAATTTAGACAGTCCCCACGCTACTATGGAAGAATTAAAAAATTTGCTCGATGAGTTTACAGAAAACGCTCTTAAAACGTGTTTGGAACTTCTGAATAAAATGCCAGAGCTTGTACACAAAACGTGCGAGCTTCTTGTAACCATTATGAAAAGAAACGGAAAAGTATATAGAGACAACCTGCTAGATTCTTTAGTAAAAACGATTATTTCGAACGCGACACATATGGAAAGTTCGGTAGTACAGAAAGAGACTAAACAAGATAACGGAACTGAAAATGACTCATCCAAACGCTTAGCGAACTACACGCATCTATTTATTTTGTTTTATGAAGTTTCATATTACTACGAGATGAAGATACCTTTTATGACCATTTACGGCACTCCTCTTCTTGAATTAATTACCAAATTGATCAAGCAAGCTGAAACAGCGATGCACAGAGATTTTGAAGCGATGCATAAAAATTTTGAAGCGGCCTCTACTTTTCTTACAAGGCCTTCCTTCAGGTTACTTAGTGATTGCTTACAAGTCCCCAAATGGTTAGCTCAGGCTTTATTATTGATAGATACTTACGGCAAAGTAGCCAACAGGACGGATCGCAAGAATAAGATGCATATTAGCACTAATAGAGTTTGGCGTTGGTACGATTTAGTCACTGGAAGATGGTCACACTATACCCCTGCTAATAACAGAATCATTAACGAGGCTTATTGGGCTGGCGATCAAAGTGTCAGAGTGACTTGTGGAAGGAAAAGATACACCGTCACGTTTCCGAATATGCTTCAGATGAACGACGAAACGGGAAACAACAGACCTATAGCTATGACTTTGCTTACTTCGACACACCCGAGTTGTCTTAACATTAACGAAGATCCGCCAGAAGATCCTATGTTTATTGAACTCACAGCAAAGGAAAGGGCCCGTTGTATTCCTGTTCCTCCTTTGTCCAAAGCCCAAAAGAAGCATATCTTGGAAGCTTGCGTTAGTCTTTTGCATCTGCCATTGGAACGCGATCTCTTGCAATCTATTATGCAGGTCTGCGTGAGGTTCACTCGAGATTTTGAAATGGCGAAGGTGTTTGTAAATGCCGGAGGTATTAAATGCCTTTTGAATACCAGACACATAGACGATTTCATTGGATTCGCTGTTCTCGCCACTATTTTAATTCGACATGCTTTGGAGGAACCAAATACTCTATCTTATGCTATGGAAAAGGTTATTAGGGGAAGGACTTTAAGTACTATTCCCCCTCCTTACAGAGATCTGGTACATTTGTTGAGGCAGTTAGGAGCTGCGATAACCAGAGATCCAGATGTATTTTTCCAAATTGCAAATAACATACTAAGAGTCGATATTTCATCTTATAAACCTGGAGAGGCTCTTGACGCAGCGTTTCCCCTTCGGGTTGAGCCGACAAACCGTACTAAAGCTCCTCCTTTAGAAGATAGCGTTTCAATTCAAGTAGTCTACGATTTACTAGATGCTTTGTTAAGACCTCTGGCCGAGAAAAAAGAAGAGAACGCTTCTGATTCAAAAAAACTGGAAGCTAGTGGGGAAGGAACCTCTAAAGATGCTTCTTCTAAAGATCAACGCAAAGAAAATTCCGTGGTTAAGGATACCTCAAAGCCGGGCCCGTCGAAATCCGGTTCGAAAGATGGAGCTTCTACGTCAAGTAGCGATAAAAAGAAAGATAATAATAAAGGTACGTCCACAGATAAGAAGGAAGAAAATGCAACTCAAAAATTAATGTTGCCTAAATCAGTCATCCTGAAAATCCTAGCAGACGCAGTGGTTTCTTACGGACCTATTGCAAAGCTGGTGACAGAATATACTTACAAAGCCAACTGTAGCCCGTTCATAAAAGAAGACACGTCGGCTCTGGCATTTATTTTGGACAAGATTCTTCCTGAGACTGAAGGAATCTCCGATTCAGATTGTTCGGCAATGTGCAGAATGTTGATTGCCGCTTTATCTTCGGCAAATCATTCTCCGAATGCTCAGCTTACTTTAGTCACTGAAGTAAAAACGGCACTGGCAAGGGCACTAGCTTTATCAGAGTCTTCAGAAAAACACGGTCAGATTCAACATATTTGTGGAATTATTTCGACCATGATCGATAATTGTCCAAGTGGGCGAGTAATGAACGTGGTTCCAAATCACATTATTAAGGTAAGTTAAATATATTTATTTATCCCCTCACGTGTTGTAATAAACTAATATTTTAGATAATGATTCGTCGAGGGTTATTTAATGATTTAGCCAAAATTACGCACTACCTTGACTTATCTTCGCCACATACGTCCTTCACTGCCAATGCAGCCTTAAAACCTTTAGAATCTCTTTCAAGAACTATCAATCAACCAGGTCCAAACACAACTACAGCCAAAGGCCGCAAGGTACGTGTATCATTTGTAATTAAATCTTTTATATATTCTTTGAATTACCAACATCCAGCCAAGTACAACAGGCAATGAAGATTCAGCTGCTGGTTCCACAGCCGCTGCAGAACCCACCAGATTAGATGAAGAAGATGCTGAAAACGTTGAAGACGCTCAGTCAGAATCGGCAACCGAGCGAAATGAAAATGAAGGCGAAGGTGATCGCTTGGAAGAAATAATGGAGCATATTTTAGAAGGTGGTACTGAAGGAACAAGAAACGCCTCTATGGAGCTTGAAGATGATGGGCCTTTGAGTTATGACCCAGAAAGAGATGCAACGGTATTTTTCGTATTTTATTTTTGTATTCTTAAAGCAAAATATTTTGGTATTTTAGGAAGAATTAATGAGTACAGATTCTGGCGAGTCCGATTCCAACCCTTCAGATCAAGCGGAAGATGAAGGAAACAATGACGAAGATGGCGATGAAGATAATATTGATGATAATGAAGATAACGAGGATAACAATTATGAAGATGAGGAAAATAATGAAGGAGAACGCAGAGGTAGAGGTGAGATTTTTTTATTAAATTTATTATTAATTTAACTTTTGTCGGTTTCATGCACTCAGGACGCCGATTGAGAGGTCAGCATAAAATTATTTAATTTTCAGAGTTTCTTATATACGTGTATTATTTATTTTTAGATTCTGAATTGCTTGAAGAGACTTCTGGGCTATTCAGAGTAGCTACTAATGATAGAGAAGAAGACGTTTTAATGATTCACTATGAAGGTGATAATGATATACCTCGAGTTAGATGGACTGAAAACGGATTATCAATTCCTATGCTAGACGACAATTCTGGAGATCAGGGTAATATTTAAAAAAAATACATGGCGTATACATTAATATTTTGAATTTTTTTATCTAGTTATCATGCATCCTCTTTTATTATCAAGACATGGAAATGACTCGACTCAGGCCACCGTTTCTAGAACTCAGCGTGCAAATCGCGCTAGGCGGTATCAATATTTATTTAATCCAAGAAACCCTAACCCTCCTGTGATATTACAAAGGTAAAAACTTCCTCATATTCTAAACCCCTTAAGTATTACTAATGATTTATTTAGGTTGTTGGGCACTCATGATCCACACACCATGGCGAATATGATGACAGCTAACAATATATTGACTGGTCCAGCTGATATAACCCGTGAACAAGCCAGGGTGGTGATCATGGATAATTTAGGACTTATTCCTCCCAGTGAAGAACAGATAGACTTTGTAGACCAGTCTGGCTATTTGTTCGGACCCAGTTTAGCCGCAACTTTAAGCCACGTACCTCCTGTGGTCCATTGGTGGAATATGGAATCGAAATTGCTAGATTTGGAGTCGGTTTTTGATTGTACCTCTTGGATTTGTAACAGATTGATGCCCAAACTGTTGAAATACAGAAACGAGGAATTGAAAGCGAAGAGAACTAAGGAGGAAGAGGAGAAGGCTAGGAAGAGGAAAGCTAGAACGACTGCGGAGAATGCCGAAGCTAAAACGGAGAAATGGCAAGATGCGAAGGACGATGAAGAAGACGGTCAAGTCCTGCTTTTTAATTATGGAGATGAGAGCGAAGCTGACCAAAATAGTACAGGTAATATTTTAAAAAAGAATAGCGATGTTTAAATATTTCTGCTCTTTTTTGTATGTTTTTAGATCAAGCAGAAAATCGTCAGACAGAAGGTCAAGAAAACAATACTTCTACAGAGCCAGCTCCAGTGAATGATGCTCAAAATTTGTTAATGAGTTTTCGCAGCGATTCTAGTTCTGGAGACAGTGCTTCTATTAGAGGTAAGTCTTTATGTCAAATTTAAATTTGTAAGATTATTTATATATTTTTTTTGTACTTCAGAAAGGGATAGTAACGAAGATAGGACAGAGGATTCAGTGGTGGCTGTAGCGGACGTATTAGTAGAGCGAAACAATCGCGAAGGTAAGCTTTTAAAAATATTTGTAAATATGTAAGAGTTTCTATTTGTCACGATTAAAACAGATGATGATTCAGAAGAAGATATTGATATTGTTTCCGCCTTAAGTACAATTTTTCGCATGCCATTTACCCTCTTAGGAAGCTTTAACGTAGCAGGTAAATTTGGTATAATTTTTATTATATTTGTTTTAACATATTTTGGTCAATAATAGATCTGGTTGAAGTTGATATCGATATTGATGCGAGGGCATCAGACATTGATAGTCCTATGGAAGGTAAACCCTTTTTAAAATCGACAAAAATGACAAGAATTACTTTAAGAAATTCTTAACTTCTCGGCTTAATATCATGCGACGATTCCCTCTATTAGTTTTTGAAATGTCTATGCTTGGTCTTCTAGTATTTTTTTTGTATGCGCTTATTATATAATAGGTTTGTTAGCTTTCGATGGTGCTGAGCTTAATTGCATTTTTTATTGAACTTTTTAAAAGATATTGACGGCGTACCACTCGAGGCCTCAGAGAACGACTCCAACGATGAAACCCGTGCAGAAAATAACGTCCAAAACGAAATAGTCTTGTCACCTTTACAATTAAGTTTTCTACGCAATGAGAACTCCAACTCGCAAAGCTTATCTGAAGAAGCAACTCATAATGCTTCAGTTCAAACACTTACAGGAGAACCTATAGAAAGAAGCGAGGGAAGCAATAGTCGTCCGGATTCTGAAGTCAGGTGGGTATCATGAATTTTGGGGTACGAGACCGAGAGAAACTAATTTACAATTATAATTCCAGCGAATCTTCTAATCCATTTGACACATCGAGCTTAGCATCGTCAACTAGGCTTCTGTTTTCTAGCGGAAGTCTAGCAGACAATGAAGAAAACGAGAGCGAACTACGTGGCTTTAGTGACAGCGGAGGAGTGTCCTTGGATGCAATATTCGAAGAAGCAATGAATCAGCATATTGAAGGCTTATCTAACGAAACTGTACGCGTTCCTGCTGAAGGCGCTTCTAGCAGTAGTTCATCTGAACAACCTAGCCAAGCAGAGGAAAGGGTCTCCAGCATTATAAGTGGAGATCTTTCTCTTGGTGCCATCTCATTGTCAGGTATATATTATTTAAATTTACATGATTTGAAGACTGATTTTTGATTTTTTTAAGACACTCCAAGAGATTCTGAAGAGGCGAGAAACGATGCACCCACCGGTGCCGGTCCAAGCAATGCTCCAGACGATGAGGATATTCCTGAAGGAGTTGATCCGTCCTTCCTAGAAGCTTTACCTCCGGAGATAAGGAGAGAAGTGTTAGAACAACACCGCATTTTATGCTTGCAACAGCGTTTGGCAGCTCGTGCGACTGAAGTAACGACTGCCAGCGAAAGCTCGAACGCCAACGAGGGTCCTCAGGAAGTGAGTCCCGAATTTTTAGCAGCCTTACCTCCAGCTTTACAAGAAGAAGTCCTTACTCAACAAAGACTGGAGCAACAAAGACAAGCAGCTGCCAGAGCGCCTCCCAACGAACCTGTTGACGCACAAGCATTTTTCCAAACTCTACAACCCTCTTTGAGAACTATGGTAATTTTTTTTTGTTTTAACTCATATCATACAACTAAACATGCTTTTTCTTCAGATATTATCAGACATGGAGGATTCCCAGATGTCAGCTCTACCCCCTGAGCTAGCGGCAGAAGCTCAGAACCTCAGACGCGATTGGTACGCTCGAAATAGACAACTAGCACAAGAAAGATTCGTGCAAAGCAACTTGCCAGCCATAATAAGACACACCAGAGGCCGTCAAGCTCATAGACCTCTCACCTTTCAAAGAGGTGGATGGAGTCCATGGGGCAGAAGCTTTATGTCCACCCATGTGCGTAGCGTTAATTCGCAGGTGAATTCGGTTAGTACACTTTTTTTTATTACTTATTTATTCTTTTTTTTATTTGTATGGTGTGTCAATAAAAATAGCTTTATTTTATTTAGATGAGAATTCGCGGACGTCAACTTCTGGACCACGACGGTATCGCTTGTTTATTGATACTACTCTTCACCGACGATCCGCATTTAAACAAATTACGACTGCATAGAGTGATTAGGAACTTATGTTACCATGCTGCTACTCGCGAATGGATTATTAACGCCCTACTCGCCATTATTGATAAGAGCGTCCACACAGAACCTGACGACATATATGTAAAACCTACTAGAAAGGTAGTTTTTATTGGAAAACATTAAATTCGTTTAATTTCTTTTTTTTTTAATTTTAGACTCCACGAGCAGGACCTTTAACTAGCAAACTACAAACAGACGCAAGACACCTTAACACCAGCGGTCATTGGTTGACTATTCGCATGGAAGCTGCTCTAGGCTGTGCAGCAAACGTATTTTTAGTCAATAAAGGTCCTGGCAAGAAAGCTGAGAGATTAAGCGGGAATAACGCTATAGGCATCCACCTACAAGCTGTTCCAGTTGTTTGTCGCAATACTCTGGATCTATTCACTGCTCTGGCTAAAGCTTTCCCGTCCTGTCTTCTCCCTACCAAGCTTTTCCGTGAAGAAGTTCTTGAACGACCTGCTATACCGCCAGTGAAGTTAAGTGCACCAGGCCAACCGGATTTCTGGGACGTTTTGTTGAAACTAGATTCAGCTGGAGCAAAGAAAGGAAAAAGTATCGCCAAGTCTTCTTCGTCCGCCGCCGCTAACGACGCTGAGGCTTCCTCATTTGAAGATACTGTCTTTGGACGGTTGCTGAATATGCTAGAGTCTCCAGTAGTATACCGCAACACACAGCTGACAGATAATCTCTTAAAGCTTCTGTCAGTTACTACTTCTGGCATGTCCGAATTAGCTAAGTCACATAGATTAAGAAAAGGAAGTGGGAATAATCAAAACAATGACCTCACAAGCAATCCTCCAATAAAGGCCCTTTCTTTGGCTGTGAACGTGATTATTTATAAGAACTGTTCAGAAGAAGGTTTAGAATTCACGACGAACTTGTTACTTAATCTAGCCAGTGCCTCTTCGGAAATGAGTCTTCTTATATTGAATTTATTGTTAAACGGAGCCGTGGAAATTGGCGTGGTTTTAGATGAACAAATACAGGATATGTTGATGGATGTACAAGATTACAATTACTTTAGGAAGAAGAAGCAAGACGAAAACGCACCTTCTACTTCGAAGGGTGTTATTTATAATAGGTTTACCAATGAACAAGTTGTTATTACTGCGTCTTCGAAGATAAAAACGGCTTGTGAACTTCAGCTTCCTTCCATGGTACCATTAACCTCCAAGTCCTCAGGGCAAATATTTTTCCTTAGAGTACTTAGAGTTATTGTTCAGATTAGAAACTCTATAAAGAACAACATGAAAAGAAGTAAGTTTAAAATTATCTCTAGAACAAAATATCCTACATTTTTTTTTTTCAGCTAATGCCGACTATGAACTACTAGCTTTAAGTGAACAGCTTAGTACTTTAGAGCATCTTTGGGAAACCTTAAGTCGTTGTCTGACTGAATTAGAGGATGCTCCCGACCACCATGCGGTCTTAGTTCTTCAGCCGACAGTAGAAGCATTCTTCCTTGTCCACTCGCCTCAGCAGGGAGCCTTCAGTTATAAAGGATCTGAAGAAGAGGAAGAAGAACGACCGCAAGGAGCTAGTGAGAGCACCAGCACCAACAACAGACCACCTACCGAAAATGCTGCTCCTGAAGAGCCACGTACCAGCTTCGATTTTGAGCATAGACAGGCTGAGCTCACTAGTCGTAGCGTTACAGCCGAACAACAGAAGTTTTTGAGTTTTGCCGAGACGCATCGCACGGTACTTAACCAGATTTTAAGACAGAGTACCGCACATCTAGCTGATGGACCGTTTGCTGTTTTGGTCGATCACACCAGAATTCTCGATTTTGATATTAAAAGACGGTATTTCCGAACTGAGCTCGAACGTATGGATCATGGTATTCGCAGGGAAGAGACTGCTGTACATGTTAGAAGAAGTAACGTGTTTGAGGATTCCTTTAGAGAATTGTTCAGACGCGCCCCAGAGGAATGGAAAAATCGATTCTACATCGTTTTTGAAGGTAATTGTATATTTCTTAATTTTCATTTACTTTTTTCTTTATTAAATAATTTTATTTCAGATGAGGAAGGTCAAGATGCAGGAGGTCTTTTGAGGGAGTGGTACGTGATCATCTCTCGTGATATTTTTAACCCTATGTACGCATTGTTCACTGTTTCTCCTGGTGACAGAGTTACTTACATGATAAATTCCGCTAGCCATTATAATTCAAACCATCTCTGCTATTACAAATTTGTAGGAAGAGTTATAGGTAAATATTCTTCAGGTCAAATTATAAAATAATATTAACTATTTTCTTTCCTTTTTATAGCTAAGGCGATCTACGATAATAAACTACTAGAATGCTATTTCACTAGGTCTTTCTATAAACACATCTTGGGCATCCCTGTCAAGTATACAGACATGGAAAGCGAAGATTACAGTTTTTATCGCGGTTTAGTCTATCTGATGGAAAACAACATCAACAATCTAGGTTTGGATTTAACCTTCAGCACGGAAATAAGCGAGTTTGGCGTTACAGAAACTAGGGACTTGATTCCTAATGGCCGACATATCCCAGTAACAGAAGAAAATAAGATGGAATATGTCAGACTTGTCTGTCAGATGAAGATGACTGGTGCTATTAAACAACAGTGAGTTGTACTTTTTAATTCTTGTGTATAACATTCTTTGATCGTATGTTTTAATTCCAGGTTAACGGCATTCTTAGAAGGCTTTTATGATATTATTCCTATGCGTTTAATATCAATTTTCAATGAGCAAGAACTGGAACTACTCATATCTGGATTACCCAATATTGACATAGATGATCTTAAGTCTAATACCGAATATCATAAATACCAATCCAACTCTCTACAGGTAAACAGAAATGGCATTTGTTTTTCTGAGGAAATCTTACACTTTATTTTTTATAGATTCAATGGTTCTGGCGTGCTTTGAGGTCATTTGATCAAGCTGACCGTGCCAAATTCTTACAGTTTGTCACTGGAACTTCCAAAGTGCCTCTTCAAGGATTTGGTGCTCTTGAGGGGATGAACGGCGTTCAAAAGTTTCAAATTCATAGAGATGACCGTTCTACCGATCGTTTACCTTCCGCACATACTTGGTAATTTTTATTGCAGTAAACAATTTAACATCTGCTATATATCTATTTAGAAGTCATTAAAAATTCTTTGGGCAATATAAAATTTTAAGGAAATTTCTTTCACAAGTTGAAATATAATTTATTAAAATCGTTTTCAATAATTTTAAGTCATAAACCATAAAATTGTTATTGCCCTATATATCGTTTTGAAAATGCTCTGTTTTTGGTTTGAGATTTTCATCCTATCTTTTATATTGGTGGATTTGCCGTTTAATTTGTAATTCAGAAATACCATAATATTCAGTGTGACTCACAAATGTACAGAAAATTTAATCTAAAAAGGTCGTATTTTAAAAATCACTTAGTATAGAATACAATATGGTATTTTTGGAATGAAAATTTAATGGCATATTCACCGAGCTAATAAAATATATATCATTCCATTTAAAAATCAAGTTAGTTTGAGATTATGTTTGAATCACCCTGTATATTGACAGAAATATTTAAAGTATGCATTACCATGTATATTTAAACAAAAAGATGGATTGCCAGATCTCGAATCAAAAATTTTATATAGAGCTTTTTAGTAACATCAGCAACCAGTAATACACGAAACCATTTTATAAATTTGGATGTATTCTAATGAGTTGTATTTCTTTTACAGCTTTAATCAATTGGATCTTCCAGTATACGAGACGTACGATAAACTGAAGGCATACTTGCTGAAGGCTATTCATGAATGTTCTGAAGGTTTTGGCTTTGCTTAAATAATACTTTAAATGTTAAGACTGATGTGTTTGTTTATACCTATTTCTATAGTATAGTCTTGAGTGTATATAAAAATATCTCTTCAAGATACCCCGAGCCTTCAGCAGTCTTGCAGAGATAAATTATGTTAATAATTATATGTTAGTTTGTACAGAAACATTACAAACTGTATATTCGCTAATAGAGATTTAAAGCCAATTTTCGAAAAAAAAAATACTTTAATTATGTATTTAATACAAATTTGTTTTAAGTGGATTGCAGTTTGTTGCTTGTACATTTATTAAGATTGCAAGTGTATTTTTGTAAAGGGCCCTTAAGGCAAACGAGTGTGATAAAATGAATTCTATTTTACTGTAATTATTTTTTTTAGTATTTCTTAGGGTTACTTCAATTTTAAATTGTTTCTTTTTCTACTGATTATCTAATTTTACCTGCAAAGGGTTGACTAAACTTTACATTTTTGTGATTACAGTTTCTCTATATAATTATTTTTTTCTAATATTACATATGTAATTGTACTTGTAAAAAAGCTCTATTACACCTGTATCATTCAATTTAAATAAATATTTACGTTTCAAATATTTATTGTTTCCTTAACCTCCAGATTATCAACTCCCTTAATATCAATATTTTAATTCCAAACTGCGGATTCCATATATAAAACAATACCATTAAGAATAACTTTTAGTCCTCCACATTTTGGAATTTAAATGTTTTGTGACCACTCTGTATAGGAAAAATGTATATATACTATATCGTAAACTAAATTGAGTAATCTGTATAAAACAATACCATGTTTCTTAAGAATAATTTTTGGTCTTTTAATGGTAACACTTGATAGGATTTAAACATTTTGAGACCACTCTGTATAGTAAAAATATAAATATAGTAAACTCAATTGAGTAATTTATACTCCTTGTTTGTTAAAAATAATTTACTGTCTTTTTAATAGTAACACCATTTTGTGATTTAAATATTTCAAGATTCTATATAGTAAATTAAATTTATTTTAAAATGGTCTAAAGTGGTGCCGGTAGTGATAAATAGTGGTAGAAATTGGGCAAATTGATGCTGCGAATTTTTTTCCACAAAATGTGCTATCTCTAACGATTTGACCTCGTTGGCAAACTTTAACCCTTAATAACTTTTTTCTGAGAAAAAAATACCTATTTTTTTTTTCGGCCATTCGATACAGAATTAAAAGCTCTATCTCTATACAAAATTACAGCTCTATCGGAGATACTTTAATTTTTCGGCTCTAGGAAAGGTAAGGCTAACCCCTTTGCTAAATTTTGCCCTAAAAATTAAAGTATCTCCGATAGAGCTGAAATTTTGCATATAGATAGAGCTTTTAATTCTCTATCGAATGGCCGAAAAAAATGTGGTATTTTTTTCTTAGTTTTTGAGATATTTACGTTTTTTTAAAAAAATCTAACTCTTCGAGCTCGTTGGTCATGTGTATTAATTATTATTTTTGAAAAATATATTTTTTTAACTAATTCCTTCACCATTTTGTCAAGAGGGTCAGAATTATTTTTAACTGTGTAAATTTCGTAGCAACACTCGAGTCCATTTTAAAATAAATTTTGTATATAGGGTCTCTCATTTTCGTGTGTTTTATGAAGAAGATAATGATAGTATTATTGTACTTATTATATTGCTTTTTCATGCTTGCCTCGGTTTTACACCAACTGAATTCACTTTGATTTTCGAAAGACTATATATTGGTTAGGTATTTCAGACTTTGATAATTCTTTTAATTATTTAGGCTTAATATTTTTTGATATAGGATGGAAAATAAAATATATTTGTACATATAATAAATTTATTTATTCATGAAAGAAGTTTAACTACATTGGATAAATATTTAAGTTTCACAAATACAACGTGCAGTATTAACATATCGATCGGAGATTCTTTGGAGATCGGAATAGGCCTATGGTTGGTTCGCTGGTCCAGTGAGCTGTGAAACTCTGGAGCGATCTGAAACAAAGAATAAAAATATGAAATAGATATATACACAGGGTTTTGTTCAAAGGTGCGTAGAAAAACTATTTTAAAGAACAGAACGAAGAAAAATATCGAAGAAATCGTGGATGGCTATGGATGGAATCTTATGGTGTATAAAAATATATTGCTTGGGATAAGTAGTGCTTTAAACGGCACTTAGGTTTTCTCAAAGAGGTTAGAAGAGACTTCATAAATCATAAATCTATGGGTTTTCTTTAGTTTTTGAACTATTTAATAGTTTAGAAAAAAATCTAATTACAATCGTCCAAAAGTCGCATAATCCGAACACTAGAATCGCGGTATATTTTTATCTGAAATTAAATAATACAGATATGAAACACCATTTAAGGGAATTGTTTACAATAAAGTAAGAAGGTAAGATGCTAAGGAATTATTACTTGTAAGACAATGACGCAACAAGGAAGTAAAGTGCAGTAAATAAGTCTAAGGCAAAACAACACGGGTGCTCTGCGGTTTCTACATGAAGATGAAGGAAGCACAATTACCAAGGTGATTTGTCTAAAAAAAAGCTCAATAATGCCACGAGGTTATTTCACTTTGGAATTTTATTTTATAAAGGATATTGCAATGATTATATCGTAAACTTGACAATTGTTGTAACGCGAGGCAACATTGAACTTTTTCGCCGTTCTTTATGTACATATTCACCTTAAAAAGAGACGCATAGAAAAGATTTTATAATTATTACCTAAAAGATTCTTAATATTGCAAGTTGCTTTTACACTGGCTTCCTTTTTTAACAGGGATAGAATTCAAACATAAAATACATACATAAAGAATGATTTACTGAGGTCGAACCAATAACGTAATTACACAGTAATGTTTACTCGATCTTAATGTAAATTTTTAAATGACGCTGGCATTTCTCATTGAATGCATTTAATAAGGTTATTAGTTTTTCTATTGTCACCCAATTGCGCTATTTTCATTTGTATATTTGTAATATTATTAAATGCAAATACACAAAGACGTAAATATAAATATTCATGCGTATTCAAATATCAATGATTTGTATGTACTAATTAATATAAGACAGTAGTGACATGGAATAAGTTGTTAAAATAATGTTAAAGAGACATTTGCATTATTTTGGGCTTATACGTTGAAATTAGGCATACAGTCACGTTTTTTCTTTTAATAGAGAAAGGCCATGAACTGTGAGCGTGTCAGTGACACTGAAGGCGAGTGCGATGCGGTAAAAAAACGTGAAAATTCTGAAGACGAAACCAGCGGAAAAAATCGAGAAAAATATTTGATTGTGCTGGAAAATTCGCACCAGCTATAACGGGACATGCGTTTGGAATAGTCACGTGCGGATACGTTCTCTAGGCACATGTTTGCGGCGTACGTTGTTAATCAGTTGCATAACTGGCAACGTGAAGAATAATTATTACCATTATTCATTACACCTACGAATGTTTCGTTTTACGTAACGGCGGCGTGTATCCATTACTACCGTTATCGACAATAATTCTGATTTTTTACTTTTGGCGTTCACACGTGCGCTGGACGCGTATGCTAACGGGAGCAGATATTGCACAAAACAGATTTTTTCAGTAAGGGAAACGCCACTAGGCAGCTTAATAATTCATTAGAGAAATTCTCATAGCTGTACCGTATCTGTTTTACGCAATACATACTAAGTTATTGCCCTACAGACTGTTGTAAAATAATAGAACCCACGGGGGTTTATTCTTTATTCAACGCTCTACATACATTTCGCATTTCTTTGTATTGTCACATATAAAAAAACCTGTCTATTATGTGCAAACTTACCAATTATTATCTATTATACTCTCAACTGGAATTCAAATTATAAATAAGGGATATAGGCAGCCAGGTATACTGCAGCATGAGATTCGTAAGTGAAATATTCGAATAATGAAAATACAATATAACAATGGCTTACTTAATATCGACTTTTTAAAGAATAGTGGATTGATAAATAAATAAAATAATAATATAAAAGAAATGTTTATATTTTAAAACTAAAATTAAAAAAATAATCTTAGGCAACCAGATATATAACTAAAACGAATTTTCCTAGAAAAGGATATTTTAAATTGATATAATTTTATAGTTATATATTATTTATATATACCCAAGTTCCTAAGTAAGTTAAAGCTATTAATGTATAGAATATTAATTCTGTACAGGGTGTTAGGCCTTTCTGTACGAGAATTTAACAGTTAATAGGGGGATAAATAAAACAAAATTTGGTCTTTATTTTGATTGCAATTATAATATAAAAATTATATTTTTTACCTCATTTTGCTATCATCGTCGATCATTATAGACTAAATTACGTAAGATGAAGGCTTCCTGAAATCTCTGGAATGAACATGTACTATTTGTTTTAGAATGAAATTAGTAATAGCAGAGTATCCTAATAGACACGTACTTCGAAAAACGATCTCTAAATTAAGAGTATGACTAAATTTAGGCTTGCAGGCTGCAAAAATTGCATTTTTTTAACGTTCATTGCCAAGCGTGGACGTTTTGTTGCATTTTGCAGTTCCTTATTACTATTCGTAATACAACCTCGCAGATCGAGGTCTTTCCATTGGCGCTGTAATGCTTAACTTATTTTATTATTGCGTCCTCGATTTACATCTGACTGCTTTATTTTTGCAGAAAATCATTTTGAACGGTGGCGATATTTCAAGATTTCCTTCGCGCCAAACGCTGGCAAAAATACAGTGCGTTTTCCTATAAATCTTTAATGAAACCTTATCACGGACAGGGTCAGCCACTTTGGAGGCTGCAATATTTAATATCGAAATGTAATTATAGCTTAAATAATATTTTTTCAGGAAATCGATTAGTTTTTTATCTATTTTACCTAATAGTGGGACAAATTTGCCTTGAACAATAATGAAGAAAAAAAAAGAAAAACAAACAAGAATCAAATTAATATTGTAATTACATCAAATCCGTTTTTACTTAACCAAGTGTGACATGGAAGCTCGAGTTTTTTCATTTTAATTTTGTTTAATCGTTCGTCCTTTGCCATATCTAGAAATCGAAGGATAGCTTTGTGCGCGTCTAGCTTTGTCAAGAATTTAAATGCACTATACTTTACCATAACAAATGTTATCTATTTAAGGAAGCTTCCAACAGACATAACTTAATCACTATCTTTATATAAACTGTCATTTAATAATAATAACGTTTACTTTACCTGATGATGAGGTAAAACCAAGAGGCTCATTTTCTACGTTGTTTAGCTTATTAACAACAAAATTCAATATGTATGCATATATTTTAATGAGCCATAACTTGAAACATCGCAAATATGCAGCCGTTGGAAATCGTTACAATGAAAAAAATCACTGAATATTTTGTGAGAATGAAAAGGCATCCGCAATAGAAAAACAGACGAGTGTAATTTGAGTAGAGAAAGTCTAATAATGATGCATTTACTTTAACTCCTCGTAACCTTGTTACGATAGTCATTAGTAAAAGAGAAATTTACCGGGTAAAAAAACCGTTGGTAACTAGGTAACTGTTTTGATATTGACATTGCAATGTTAAGATTTCTTTGCCGTATCGTTTTAACAGTAATTGGAACATCTTTTATCTTGTAGCGCATTATTATTTTTTTAATAAGAATGTTACTATAAGGTTAATATACAACCTGTCAAAACACTTTATCCTATTAAATGTTGCTCACTAAAAACTGTCCTAAAATGTTCCGTAAGTGTTTCAAACGTCTTGATAAAAATTCTGCCAGACGGGTTCAATACACCCTCTGAATATTTTATAAACCTACCTTTAAAAGCCGGTACATAAGTTAATTTTGTGCCATGACGTAATATGTACCACGTGCATTAATTTCTATTTTTTTGTTCCCTCATTGAAGGTCGAAAAATAAACTTATTATAAAAATAGCGTCGTAACAAATATGGACGGAAATTAGCCACATAAACAATTTGTTTTGTGCAGATAGGGAGCGTCAAAATATTTATTCTAGACTGTGTTTTTGGAATTCCTTAAGCCACCAACCGAAAAATACAAACGTGTCAGACCTCGAGACCTTTAACTAAGATAAGCGAATTTTGCGCTATCATCTTCCTTATGTAATTCTCCATTTTTTGCCTTTGCATTATCTAAAAGGCATACTACATTGCGAAATGGTCTAGTTCATCAATGAAACTGAGATTACGATTGTGCATATTAAGATGTTTTATATATAATATTATGAAATTAACTTACTACTTTTTTTAACTTAATTTGAGAGTTAAGATCACATTAAAATAGAGATTATGACTAAATTATTAATTACTAAGTAATGACAATAAGACTGATATCAAGAAATATGTTATAAAAAGGATCAAGGTAACCGTTTACATCTAATGTACTTTTGTGTCTTTTTTATACTGTTAATGACATTCAAAATTTATTAATTTGCAAATTTTAGTGTGGTAATTGATTCTAAAAATAAAGATCAAAACTGTAACAGAAGCAAAGTTCAATAGTTGTAGATTAAACTTCGAAAAAAGCCGAATTTCGGAATTTCAGATATTATGAAATACTATACACTATAGATAATATTATCATTAACCTAATTTTGTGTTCCGCAAATTACTAGTAATCGTTTTAATTTAAGACCATTTTACGTAACATAAAATAAATATTACATCTATAAAATTTCCTATTATATAGTTCTGAACTATTTAAAAATAATAAAAAGAGAAGAAATATTTAACAGCAAATAAAAATGCAACTTGTAAACAAATGTAGCAATAGTTTGCCTAGAAAGAGGAATTAAAATATGTAAATATCAAGTTCAAAGACCCAATGTTTCGACATTCGTTTTCCTATAATATACACAGTGTGACGTATACCTACTGTCCAGTAGCTTTTCTAATTTAAAAATGGTCAGTTCGTTGACTACCTCGCACCATTAAAACATTAAACAATTCATTAGCTACCACACCTTCATAAATGTATGCGCTTTCAAGCAGGTTGATAAATTTCGAAAATATGCATCGACTTTTTTCTGTTAAAGTTCAATGCAATAATTAATTTTCTTTATAAATAATATTTTATACCTTATTCCATGTGACGACATATATAGTTAAATCTATTAGTATTAAGTATGGGGTGGTCAGAAAATTACTCATTATTCAGTCAGTTAAAATGTTATATTTAGGCTCCTGAATAATGTAATCTGGCACCCTATATAGTATCCTGTTTGGTTTTGATTTGGTAACTGTAAATAAAAAAAATGTGAGGATATAATATAGACTATGAAAATCACTCAATAACTAGGTCTACTATCGACCTAGAAACTCTAATTGCATAAAAATACTGTAACATTTTTTTAACAAGATTTATCTCTAGAAAAAATGAGTCATTGAGACTATCAAATTGAAATAAATAGAATAATCGTATAGTAGAAACTAAATCATATCATTTCAGTTAGTTATTCTAAGCATATCATTTTTGAATTAGACACTGTCTAGAAATCCCTCTCAGAAAAATTGAGACAGTGCCATCTCATTTTTTTTATAATCACCGCATAATAAAAATAGAGATTATTAATCCCTGTTATAAAAAGCATACTGAAAAAATAAGATGTCTGTCTCATTTTCTTTGAAACACTTATAGAGAAATCACTCTGAGAAAGACATTGAGATCTCATTTTCTATAGTGGTAAAATAAACACTTAAAATAAATAATATTTTATTAATGAGGTTCCCGTTAGATACTACAGAAATATCAACTCTTTGGAAATATCCATTCCTCTCAGGCATACCCCTCATGATACATGAGACACTATCAAGTGAACGATATCGAAAAAATGAGACATTTCAGAACTCTTTTTGCTTTGCAGTCGTATAATAAAAAATTAATAATGTGGCCCCTGTTAGATAACGTCGAGATATCAACTCTTCTCAGGAAAAATAAGTTCTCAACTTTTTATTTCTTCTGAGACACTATAGAGAAAAAATGAGATCTCATTATTTTCTAATAGCAGTGCAATACGAAATTTTGTAGTGATAATAACAGCAAGACTTTAAACATTAAAAAGAGCAATAAAAACGGTCGTTTACTAAGTTGGAGCGGGCTACGAAAATAGGTCTCGAGTCGACCTAGAAACTGTAACGCACAAAAATTACGTGGACCTTATTTAAGAAAGAAAATATTACATTAAACATTATTCCAAAGTAACAGGCGCTCGATGAAAACACGGCGACTGGAAAAATATGCGAGAAAGTACGACCTCGATTTTGTGACATACATTTCAGTCGTTTCGTATCTCTGTCGCCCTGCCAGCTCCACATGCGCCCGTCTCGCTCGCACGTTCTTTCTTTGGCCTAGATCGAGGAGAAATTAACGATAACATTAGTTGTTTGCCGTTTTTTACGCCGTTTTTAAGTGAAAATGTTGCTCGCCTAGTTAGTTATACTTTTTCGATTACAAAGCTATTATATCGCCGTTGGGAGGTTTAACGGATTATATCACCGAAATCTACCGTTAGCTTGTCACTGACGCTTCGAAAAAAGTGTTACGCTTACATCCTTATATTTTAATTTATGAATAGTTACTAACTGATATTAATTTGACAATTGAAAAACAAATATGTTCAAAAACTAAGACATATAATATTATATTTACATCAGTTGAGATATTTTTTAAAAACTGTGACCTATAATATAGTTAGAAACAAAAATCATTGTAGACATCATTATATACATATATACAGGGTGGTCCGAATTATATTCGGTAAACTTCAGTAGGCTATTCTGCAGAGAAAAATAAGTAAAAAAGTATAAATTTATATGCTAAAACTATTTCGAATTTTCATTTTTTTATTCGTTTTTTTTGCCAAATGATTTCAGAACTATAACAGATATTTGGATGAAAATTGGTGTCTGGGTTCTCTGACATGATAAATTTCATTTCGGTGTCAATATGATTCCTGACTCCTACTTGTAGGGGGCGTTACCTAGATGTTTTTGAGCTGTTTTGAAGAGCAATAACTTTTCGTCCGTACCTATACTAAACTAAAGTGAAAAAATATACATTTTCGCCGTATTCTACATAAAAAAAGTTCTCTTCGTACAAAGCCCTCTCAGTAATGGTTCCCAAGATATTTATTGAAATCAAAATAATCAATACGTGCCATTATTGACAATAATTAAACATGTTTACTAGATAGATATTAGACTGAAATAATAAATCTGGATTTTTTTTGTGCCAAAGGTTCAACAGAAACTATTTTATCACAATGTTTTCTATAAAAATTTATGATTAATTTAAAAAAAAGTTTCCAAATATATCATTTCAGTCAAATAACTATCCAGTCTCAACATGCTTATTTTTTGTCAGTTATGACATATATTGATAGTTACCATTTAAAAAATATACAATATTCAAATCAGTTTAAAAACATGTAATTAGCGCCACCTTCAAGTTAGAGTCATATTGATATCAAAATCAAATTTCTCATGTCAAGAAATACCCAGAAACCAATTGTCATATAAATAACTGAATTAGTTCAGATATTATTTTGAAAAAAAAAGACAAAAATAAAATTTCTACACCCTGTATTTCCTAAACGAAGCATTGTAGGACCTAAGTTTATTAGAACTAATCTACATCCCATATAACACAGAATATCCGCAGGATATTCATAGAATGTCGGAATGTCCCATTATAAGATCATCTTATAAAGACATCTATAGAATATCCTCCAGATATCCTGAAATCCTGTAGATGTCTCAGAATAGAATATCCTATGGATATCTCTGTCGTATATCTAATGTACATCCAGCTGAGATATCCAAACATGCTCATGATAATAAAATATCCTAACAATATCGTCTAGATATTTAGGAAAAATAAATAATGTACTACTTTTTATATTACATAAAATGCAATAAACCATACAGGTAGATATATATTACGTCAAGGCAACAAAATATCCTGTTGGTATCTTCTGGATAATCTGGATATTTATGAGCTTAGCCACTCCCAGTAATATAGAGAATTTAAAATCCCCGCGCAAAAAATTTCCCACAAATCAATCTCGACAGTTGTTTGTTTTTGCATCGTATACTATTCAGTTCTTTGATTTAGTGAAATTCGAGGTGAATTCGGTCGTTTGTTGATATTGAATGGGCTTAAAAATTACTGAAACTAAGAAAACTGGTTGAGTTTGACTTAGTTTTTTCTTATACTCATAGTTCTAGCCTTGTTCTAGCAGAAATTCTATCCTAACCTCAACTAATGTCGAAAAACGACGAACGACTCAGGGTTTCACAATAAAAAATTTGTGACAAAATTATAGGTGAAAATTTGTTGAAAAGCACTTGTTCTTTATTCCTAAACCCATTTTCATGTTTGATCTATTCAAACAGAAATCCTATTTTTGTGTTTAAATTGTGAGTTTCTTGAATGTGTGGTATTAGAAATTATACCTGTATCCTGTGTGCTAACTTTGATGTAAACTGTTGCTGCTAGACATAAACTGCTAAAAGCCCATAAAGGGTAGTATAATCTGGTATACCATACGATCGAAAAAAACGGCGTCAGAGGTGGCTTGGAAATGAAGATTGCTGTTATTTTGTATGTAAAATTATATGGGGAACGTCATCGATCGTAATTTTCAAGCCAATTGCACGCCGTTTTTTTTTCGATGGTACAGTATAAATTGAAAGCTCTTAACTCATACAAATAAACTTCTAAATTTTGACGCAAAATTCATTGACATTAATAAAAATGTCCAATGAATAACGTCAAAATGTGGCTAAATAAAACTAAATCGAGAACGTTTTTACTACAAACTAAAGATGAAGTAAGTATTGTCAAATCAGAGTCCTCATATAATGTCCTAAAAATATTCTATAATGCTCCCAACATCATCCTTGTATTATCTTAGAAATATCCCAAATAATCGTAAAAGGCTTGCCTAGGGATGTCTTGAAGATGACTTTTTTTGTCCCATCTGGATATCCCATAAATATCCTCCTCTGGTTTTTGGATATCTCTAAGATATTTACTATATCCTTGGTGGTTATCCTCAAGATATGTATAGGATTGTGTTGTGTTATATGGGATATTTTCATCAGGCAGAATATGCTGCCGAAGTTTCCGATATACAATTCGAACCACTCTGTATACCGAATTTCTTGTGACGACAGATTTAGTTAAATCTATTGATATTAAGTTTGTGATTGTCAGAAAATTACCTATTATATTTAAGCTCCTAGATGATGTAATGGCACCCTAGTATACTGTTTGGCTTTAATTTGGTCCCTGTAAATAAAAAAAAACGTGTGGATATGTAGACTATGAGCCTCACTCAATAACTAGGTCTACTAGAAAATTGTTTTTATTTTAGACTTTCTACGACAACCTAGAAAACACTAAATGCATAAAAGCCACCGTATTCCAGGAGATATATTATTTTATCCAGAAAGAATAATTGTATAATGTAAATGTCAAGTTCAAACCACCCAAGGTCTCTACATTTTATTTTCTGTAATATACACACCTCTGTCCTGTAGCATTTCTAATATAAAAAGTATTAGTTCATTGACTACTTTATAACATTAAACAGCTAATTAACTACCATACCTTGGTAAAAAATATGCGCCTTCAGGTAAAAAAATGATAAATTTCAAAAATATGTATGCATTTTTTTTCTCCACGCTACATCCCAATCATTAATTTTAATTAAAAAAAAATATTTTTTTTATAACTCATCTAAGCGATCCCAAGATTTTAATAAAATTCGTTCTCATAAGTTTTCATAAAGTTTCTGTATTGCAATATTAAGAAATACATTTTTTATGATTACATATAAAAAATATTTCCATTGCGTTATTTAAATACCTTTAACCTTTCCCTAAGTATATTTTTTCGCAAAAAATAGCAAGGATAAAAGATTTTTTATTCTGCATACACGTTTTACCGTTGCACACTCACGTGCACGGGCACATTTTCTCCAGCATGGGCTGGTCGAATATGAATTCCATTCTGTAAATTGTTCGACTCCAAACGACAGATAAAGATGGCTTACGCAAATCGAGAAATGGCTCAGGGGACTAAAAAAATTCTGGAAAAATTTCCAGTTTGAATGGTTTGAGTAAAATCTAAGAAATTATTTCTATAAGCAAAAATAAAAGAATATATTTATATATATTTACGACTTCTCAATTCATTACCTATTTTGTAAAATAAACCAGTAAAATTAATCATTTAGACTATTTTGAATATTATAAACAATTTCTTTTGAGCGACAGTTTTTGAATAAATAAAGTGATATTAGAACGGAACGAAATAATTTATTGAAAAGTACGGTAAATCGTTTTTATATATTTTTTTCTGCTGCTACTCGAAGGTGTAAATGTTTCTGTTTTCCGTTAAATGAAAATAGAAAGAGAAAATAACCTTTCCTTAGCAAAGTCACGTGCGTTGTTGTATGCATGTCATTAAAAGCAATTATTTTCTGAATTATTAATCTGTAATATGTAAATAGCACTTATTTAACATACTTCAAGTGTATGTAAGCTGCGAGATTGAGTCAATTATTATAAAACAAAACCTTTTTCAACATTTTATAGAAGATATGACAAACAAAACTTGCTCAAACTTTTTAACATAATTACATAAACACACTTATAGTTACCATTATCTGACCTAGTTAGATAAAGCCAAAAAATTTCAAACTACTGATATTTAAATAAATAACTTGAAAACAAACGAGTCAGTAGTTAATATTTCTTAAAAATATTTTGCGGGTAAATTAATAATGTTTTTCAATAAATATCTTAAGATTAGGTCGGTGTAAATAGGTGATAACAATATGGATATTTTTAAAACATAGACCTTTCACAATGTATTGTTGTTTTCTTTTAAATAAGAGTACAGCAACCTTGCGTGTTGAGTTTAAATATGAGAAAATTGTTTAATAATTTTTTACAGCTACTTGAAAAATATTATATACCTATGTCGGACAAGAAATAACAACTTTTTCTCTTTTATAATTTTTGAGCCTGGTGTCAAAACTTATGTCATTCAAAAGCAAACAATAAAAGCGTTGCATCACAAGCAAAATAAAATGAGATCGAGCTCATACGAAAAACCGGGTAATCGATTTAATTTAGGTTAAAAACGAGTCATTTTTAACTGATAACCTAAATTCAAAATGGAAAAATATACATAACTTTCTGCATGTAACATGTTAAAGCATTTAAAGATAACAAATACAAAAAGAGATTTTTATTCGATAGACCTAGAGGATTTTTTGCGTGTGACCTAGACCTTAACCTTACGAAAGGTTAACAGGCTTTAAATATTGTTGCATTGAGCAATAGCAGATGAAAAAAATAGCTGCTAGGTATTAAAATAATATCCGAGAGAGTTACAACCGGCGAAGAAGTGTTCCATTGCCCCAGATAGTGCTTTACTAGGTCATCGAAGCCGCTTTCTTTCTTACTTACTTTCCTATCTGCTACACGTAACGTTTTATCAATACCAATCTAATAAGCCCATAGAAAATTGATTTTTACGTTCAGTTTATATGTCACTTGTCGAAGAGAAACGTAAAAAGATTGGAAAAATTTACGTTTCAATTAGAGATATTTATTTATTACTTTAAATTTAATTAACTCTTTGTTCTCTTCAGGTGAAAAAGTGTCACTATTCAACTTGCCTACTTATTACCATCTTTACTTTAGAACAGTTTTCTATTATACCTCCTGTACATTGCAGTTATTTAAAGCCTGATCTAGACATAACGTTTTACCTGTCAGCCTTACCTGTTCAGGCAAAACGTATTAAGTAAAACATTATTTGTAGACGGAAAAACGAACAGTTTTACTTGAACTGAATTAAGAAGTTAGATCTATAATGAAAAAAATATAGCTAAGTAAATTTACAGCATCTTTAATAAGCGACTATTAACAAACTAATATTTTTGAATAGTTTTACAAAATAATGCAATTTTACAAAATTGTTTAGAGATATTTAATGATATTACAAAACGAAACTAATTTCACAATTAGTATTGCGTGTTTATAAAAAAAAATTAAACTATAAATTCAATTTTATAGTAAAAACCTTACTAAACACACTATTATTAAAACAGCAAGTAAAACATCTTGTGTTTGTGCCTGACAGGTAAAATGTTATGTGGAGACGGAGCTTTAATGGAAAATATAGTAATCTCTTTAATACATTTCTATATTATTTAAAAACGACGCACACATAACCTAAAAAAAGATATCAATAGCAATATAATAAAACAACCGATTTGTTATTCAGCAAGTAAATAGGATTAAATTTGTTTTCAATGGCAGCCTCTGAATTTTGATAAAAACGTTTGAAATGTCGAAATGCGCCGAGACAAAAGGAACGAGGATTTTCCAATAATCGGTTTTCAAAGCGAAAAAGCCGGATAAAAATATGTTTGCTATCGATAAAAAAATATTAAAGACAAAAGAAAATGGTCATTAAAACGAAAATAAACAGTATATATTTTTGGAATGACGTAAACATGTTTTAACTTTATATTGTTATGTAAATAACATTTAGCAAGCAAAAAAAATTGCACCAAATATGACAACATAATACATATTGCTAACATAATACACTGCGGGACTAAATAACTGTTTCAGGATTGGTTAAAGCATTAAACTGTAACATTTTCAGATATTTCTACGACTTTCTATAGCTGTAGCCATAGCCCAGACCATGAATAAATTTTACGGTAAAATAACGGACTGTCATTTGAGCGAAACAAAAAAAAAGCCAATAGTTAAAAATATTTATAGTGCAATTAGAAGTTTGTTAAAAATTACTAAATCATCTGAGATAGATAGCGGTGGCCAAACCACGCAAGAAGAAATAATGACCTGGATAGAAAACTAGGTCACAGTCACACTAGTCAGTGAATAGATGGATAGAAAAGCGGACAAAGCCGTTCGCCTAAGGTATATTGCTCCTACGTTGCCACATTTTGTTTTGTTACATACGAAACTACCGACAATAATTCCTATAACACTATTACCAGCGCTACTAGAAACTACAGCAAGAACTTGCATATATTATTCTGTAAATATATTTCAATTAGAATACTTAAAAATAACAGCTAGTTTATCTAGTTACATTACTGTATTATTCATATATCAAAGTTCTATGCTTCCTGGATTATAAAATCCTGGAAATATTACTTCAAAACTATTCTGTTGCTTTCCAAGTAAAATATAATTTTAGAAAATTATAGTGACGGTATTTTTCAGGCCTCAAGGATGAGGATATATAGAATAACAAAACATGACAACGCTGTTTAGAACTAATTTTAAAATTAGATGATATAGAAACAACGTTGGACGTTACGTATGCACTAACAGAACGATTTTGTAATTTCGTTTAATCCTGACCTTAGTCACAAACAGCGTCTAAGGCTAATATAAAAGCAGAGCAACCAATATCTATGACAATATAATACCCTAATTTAAAATGTCTGCGCCTAACACTGATACATTGTTTGACTGATATAAAAATATTTTCAGATCATCGAACCCTTATTGCAAAATAAAAAAAATACCACTTAAATGCGTTCAATTTATTTTTCAGAGAATAAGATAATATATTATAAGTGTTGATTCTAAAACGAAAAAGTTACAAAACAATTTTAAAAAAATCAGAGCAGTGAACCATCAGGCCACGATAAAAATAAAAAAAAAAGTGTCGCAACAGTAACATTGTCACTGTGTCGCTGTTCAGATTACGTACATAACAATGATATTAATAATTTATTAAGGATTTCGAAAAACATGGCGCAAAGAGGATGGAAAAAATATATACACTGACCGGATATCTGAGCTTGAATCTCATAGTAATTTCTTAATACAGAGGATGTGCTATTGCATACTGCAACACCCAGATCATTATTCAATACGTACAATAACATAAACAGTGTTTTTTTGTTTTGTTTTTTAACTGAATGAAGATCATGAATAATTTCTAGATACTCAGACTATTTATTATATGCTATAAACACCGCTATTATACAGTTTAGAACAATCCAATCTAACCACTGTGGGTGCAAAATGTGTGATCAAATCATATTTTGTTTTATAACGATATTAACATATTTTGCAAGCTGCTTATATAAATAAAATCAATCGAAAAGCTGTTACATTTTTTTAATATTGTTCACGCAACAGTGGAGATATGTGAGTAAACAAACTACATGCAATACACCCATTGCATTTGTTGTAGAAGGAATTTTATCTGCTTTATTTTTGCGCAACCACTTTATTACAACCAATATACATTTGTTTGTGTATCTATCGTCGCAAAGGAAATGAGATGTTGATGAACTCGAAAAATTACACAAATGAATTAATTTTACCGTGAACATGTCGAATTTCTTCTCTTAAAGCTGCGTCTACACATAACGTTTTACCTGTCAGTCTTACCTGTTCAGCCAACAAGTAAAATTTCCCTTTTACCTGACACGGAAAACCTTTGTATCTTAAAATATACAAACTAAAATACTTAAAACAACTTAGAAGACTATACATAAATTTATTGTTTCCTAAGATATTTGTTTATTTGCTTATCGACCAATTCATAAGAAAATCTCTACAAACAAGGCGAAATTTGTAGATAAACAATACATTGCTAAGGCCAAAAGTCAATAACATCAAAACCACAACATTATTTGTCAAATTTTATAGATCATTAAAGTTTTTCATTTAAAATTTATTAGAATTGATAGATAATACTAAATTAATAGGAATTATTTCTGTGTTAAATTATTGCGATATATCATAGTGGTTATGTGGCTGAGAATATGTGTGGGAATAATATTGCAACTATACTTATATTAAGCTGAACAAATTGTGATATTTTAAACTTAAGTATAAGCCAGTAGTTTAAATAAATATTAGTAAGTTTTAATATCATAGAATACTTCTTTTGGTACTTATAATTACCATTTATTATTATGGACCACTCTCTAATGATCTGATCTCATCCTGCTGGTTTTGTAATCTTCCACAGTACTGCTATGGTTCTGCTGCATCTCTTGGTGGTGAATATTTAATCATAAGCTGCAAATTAATAATAATGTGTTGCTGTTAGACATATGACACAATAGGGTATATCTAATATGCAAATTACATTTTATTACCTTTACATTTTACCCCCCAACTTGCACTGCAATGATCTCACTTAAAATTTCTCATAAATTCTTATAGTTGATATCCTCTTAAAAAAGCTACATGTCACAGGTATTCTTCAGCTATTCGTCTGAAAAAATATTTCCAATCAGTATCTGAAATATATGTAAATTATTTTAAAACTACCTTATTATTCACCCTCCAATTCTTAAAACATCTACAATCCACTCCACGTCATCCTATTTTCATATTCTTCTTCCATTCTTCTTATTCCTCCATTTCCTTGCTCCATAAGCTTCCATTTTATGAGTACATATTTTCAAAATTATAGGCTACTCACAATGTAAATACTGCTTTGCAAAGGCGACACGACGAGAGGCCATACCATACTTTTTCTTCATTTCTTTTGACATTGAGCTGTAAGATATGTAAGATAAATAGAGTAGTAGAATACCAAGTAGAAGTACAAAATATATTAAGAACTTACCATCTTTTATGTTCTTTAGTCAGTATTTCTTCATTCATATAATTGTAAGACCAGTTATGTTGATTTGTCTTTGTCATAGGGCGACGTGTGATATAAATTGTGTCTGAAAAAGAATAGAAATAGATATAACACAAAAATTATTCTGAAACTATGAAATACATACATAACGTAGTCGGTAAGAGTAATACATCAGTGAAAAAAAAAATAGAAGACAACGTTAAATCGAATCACTACTTTGGATAAACGTTATGGCCGTATCTGGACAGGAAAATAATTAAACAAACATTAAATATTAAACACATATTGTTTGGAGAGACTGTGCAAAGCTTACAGCTGAAAACTCTTCAAACTGCATGAAGAAAACAACCTTTTTCTATTGAAAATACAAATAAAAATATTCGGTCGGCCACCTTGCCATTGTGAAAATGTCAAAACGTATCAAAACAAATGTCAAACTACATTTCTAATAACATTTGTAGATGGACCAATAGACATTCCTTTTGAAAACCGTGGCCATTTTGGATTAGGGCGGGGCTTAGACCGGCGAATTTATGAATGAAATGTAGGTTACTATAAAAGGAATGCAGAAATATCGGTCAAGTTCAACTTTACTACAACTACGCCAGCCATCATTGTACAAAACAATGAATAAAGTTTAAACGTTCCTGATGGAGAAATAGTTTTTTAAAGATATATCAGGAACAGATAGAACTATCAAGTTGGTTGAGGGTGCGTTGGATTCATGGAGGGTAAAATGCATCTAGGGATAGTAGTTTCATCACTTTGCAATCCCTATATTATAGTTAGTTTTTGTTTTTAGTAGTTTTTTGGGAAGAAAAATGGCACGTGCGAGGTTTTAGAGTTGAGTTTGAACGTGTATTTTAGACTATCTCTGATTATATTTATTTCACATTAATGTAAAACAAACATTTCAGGCACTTCAAGGGTAAAAATAAGAGTTTCAAAAATAAATTCTTGCCAAATACGCAAAAACACTCGACGAACAAAACACATTTTTTTTATCGAATTGGCAGATTACAAACTTGAACTCTTGAAAATATATTGCGCAGGTTAGTAACCATGTAAGAGAATTTAAGCTGTTTATTTTTATGTATCGCTTGTGAGGAATTTTTCAAACACTCTGAGGTCTTATATGATAACTTTTGCTGATAACAGAACAATTAAAATTTCGTACATTAACAATGAAATCGAAAATATAACGTCAATATTTCTCGTATGCGAAAATGGAACTTTGCAAAGTATCAAAAAGTTGATAAGTTCTAGGATACTGGCGTTCAATAAAATCTAGCTTTTATAATACCATTAAAGTAAATTTTATCAGATGTGTTACTAAATAAATCATAATCATAATCGAACTAAAAGTGTTTACGTTTTTTTAAGTATTAAGTAATCGTCAATTCATTCTTGCGATATTTATAGATAACCTTTGTCAAATACTAAAAAAACCTCTAGACATAATAAAATTACGTTTAAACGACAACGCTCTTATCAAGCAATCGTTATTGTGCAACTGTATTTTTTTCAAAAGCACTCCAATTAAAAATTGCACACATATTTCAATTTCAAAACGCTTAAGGGCCTCATTATCCCAAGTTCAATGTCAGCCAATAAACAGCATGAAATTCGATAAAACAATCATTAAACATTATTTCAGGTGCATCCACAAAGAGGGTCTTACATGAAAGAACCCTGCAGCTCTATGACGTCATCGCCGGCCTTGACAAAATAACTATTTGTCAATCAGACGTTGACCCTGTTATTGCTGTTCGCTGTCTGAAAGCTAAACTGCATCGACGTTAAACACTGTAGACAAGGCTTTTGTCTGTAAGCCTGCAGCTTATACCACATATTCTTTGTCTTCAGTGTAATTTCAGAAATAAAAATGTCTGAGAGTCATAGAGCTGCAGGTGTAAAATAAGAAAGGAATAGTTAAAACTTCACTTAATGGTGAATTAAATAATATTAAAACGGATTTTCTTCAGAATGGTTACTCTGAGAAGTCCCTAGACAAAATTAAGTCAACTTGCAAAACTGACTCACTGGTCAACGGCCTGAGGAGGATGCTCTCTCTCTCTCTCTCTTCATTATTCCATATGTAAAAGGAACATCAGAAAAGATCAGGCTAATAGACAAAAAGTATAACATTAAAACTGTCTTCAAATCTGGATCGACTCTAAGAAGCGTCCTAACAAAAACAAGGCCGGAATCATTGAATCCAGAGAAATAGTGCATCTATTAGGTACCTTCTGAGTACGGTGAGTCGTATATTAGAGAGACTAAACGTCCTTTAAATGTACTACTTAGCGAGCACAAAAAACATGTACAAAAATATCTCGGTATGACAACCAGGTAAATGTGCGATTCTTTGTACTAGGCAATAAGAGTCCATTGACTAGGAGCTGTATATGGAGGGTATAGTCTCCAAGTTGCTAAAGATCAGAAGAGGACCACAATAGATCTGAAAAAGTCGCAGTTAAACAGGTTGATAGCCAAGGCAAATATAGAATCTAATTTAACTATTTACTAGAAGATTTGAATATTTGTAAAATATAACCAAATATTGGCTAAAGTTTATTATTGTTTATGGAGTACAAGTCAGACAAAGAGCCCAAAGAGGTAATACACACAGAATTAATTACTTATGAAAAAGCATTAAAATACGTACAGGGTGGTCCGAACTGTATCCCGGAAACATCGGCAGCATATTCTGCAGATAAAAATAAGAAAAGAAGTTCGTATAAATGTATGTCCTAAAATGCTTCGATTCGAAGATACAGGGTGTAGAAGTTTCATTTTTATTTCGGTTTTTTCCAAGTAATTTTTGAACTAGCATCGATATTTAGATGGAAAATGACGTCTGGGTGTTTTTGGGCATGAGAAATTTCATTCCTACTTGTAGGGGGCGCCACATACATGTCTAAACTATTTTGAAAGGTAATAACTTTTCATCCGTACTTGTATAAAACTACTGGGTGAAAAAATATACATTTCCGTAATTTTTACATCAAAAATATCTACGAGAAAAATCGCTACGAGAAACCGTTCTCAAGATATTTAGAATGGAAATAGTCAATACATCTCATTATTGACAAAAAATAAACATGTCGAGTAGATAGTTATTTGACTTGATAAATTTAAGAACTTTTCATTTTTTAAGTTATTCATAAATTTTTCTTCGAAAAAATGGCGATAAAACAGTTTGTTGAACTTTTGGCACAAAAACATTTCAAATTTATGATTTAATAAGTCTAATAACAGTTTAGTCAACATGTTTAATTTATGTCAATAACGACAGGTATTGATAATTTCGATTCCAAATATCTCGAGAACCATTACTCGTAGCGATTTTTACCAACAGACCTTTTCTACGTAAAAAACGTCGTAAACGTATATTTTTTTACTCGGTAGTTTTATACAGGTACGGACGAAAAGGTATTACTCTGCAAACCAGTTAAAAATATGTAGGTGGCGCCACTGCAAGCAGGAGTCATCTTGACATCAAAATCAAATTTCTCATGTCAAAAAACTTCCAGACACCATCATTCAAATATTGCCTTTCCTACAAAAATTATTTGGAAAAAATCAAAATAAAAATGAAATTTCTACACCCTGTATCTCCAAAACGAAGCATTTTAGGATATACATTTATACGAACTTTTTTACTTATTTTTATCTGCAGAACACGCTGCCGAAGTTTCCGGAATACAGTTCGGACCACCCTGTATAATATTTTCACAATTCAAACAAAATAAAAAATTGATTACAGTAAAACGTTTTCATAATACTTCTTAACAACCCATTTCCTGTGACCACATATTTAATATAGCAGAATCTCATAATAAAAGGACGTAAAGAATAGTGCATGATTATTGTATTGCACAATCGCGAGGACCCTTAAATCTTAAGTAAGTCTATTGTTTCGGTAATCGATGATCCAAAGTCCGAAATGAAGCTGAGCTTGAGCACGCAGGCTCATGCATAAGATCAAGCACTAACCTTGCCTAGCATGCACTTGCTCTGCTCCCATCCAGCCGGAGTGACTCAAGGGCAGACCGTCCGTCCCATTATTTTTTATTATTATTTTTAATCTCGCAAACGAGCCTTAAACACCACAAACAACATCGCATCGGAATAGTATACGCTCGAAATATTTACGTAGGTCGAGTCCTCTTTGGAATTTTAATATCTGGTAAAATAATATTTGAAAGCTTACTGGCTGCCTTCCAAAAAGGAGAATCGTTCCCTTTCGATCTGACGAACTGCATCTTAGGGTCATTGTTTTTTCAAAAAGTATTGGTTTCGTTCAAAGAAGGTTACTGGTAAACTGGTCTTGGCGCTTCCAAACCTCTTTTGTCAGAATTAAATAGCTTCTAAAAGGTCTTGTTTATGACTTCCGATATAACTGGCTAATTCTTCTGCTAAAAGAAAAAAAAATACATATCTTAGCTACATTTTACATATTTTCATAGCTTGAAAAATTAGTGTTTGTAGCGTATTTTATGTAAATTTGAAATATATTTTTTTTAGATTTTATAGGCTTTGTTTTTGTGAGAAAATCCAAGTTTTAAGCCCTGTTTTCGAGCTATTTTTGATGACGGTTAAAACGTTGCCTACATCCAGAACTGTACTCATGAGACCACAATGGCCTATAGTTTCGAATTCTACCCCTTTTAATTAGTAAATAACAACAGTTTTAATAAAATGGATGACAAATTGTCTGGAAAAAAGCCAGAAAAATGACAAATTTTTGGCTTCTTTTTGCACATTTTTAAAGGCCTTAGAAAAATAGTAATCATAGGCATAAAATTATGAAAATTTCAGCATTTGTAGGAAATTTTATGTAGGTTCGGAATATATGCACCCTTCAAGGCTTAGATATCTTGGTTTGGCGAGAAAATGAATTAATTGGACCTATGTTTTTGAGCTATTTTTAATGATGGTGAAAACGTCCGCCACATCTATATTACTGTTCTCCTAAGACTGCATTGGCCTATATTTTCTTATTCTACACTTTTTAAATAGTCAATAACAATAGTTTTATCAAAATCGGCGACCAAAATCGACAATTTTCATGACTCCTCACCCAACCCATTTTTAAAAACCTTATAAATATAGTAAAGATAATCATAAAAATACGAAAATTTCAGCGTTTATAGGAAATTTTATATATGTACATTCAGAATATAAAAACATTTAAGACCTAACTTGCTTTCTGATCGATTTTTCAAGACTTTTTACGTACGTCAGCAATGTGTCCCTACGTGTAAATAATTGTTTTCAAATATATACGTCAGGTATACAAATTTAACTGTGTAATATGTAAAAATTGACCCTGTGCTCTGTGCATTGTATTATGCTGCGACTTCTCCCATTCATGCCGATCCATATTGGCGCAATTGACTTTTGTCTGAAGCTTCAGAAAGATTTTGCAAATTACGATGGTGAAACAAAAATAACGCTCAAGGTGACTCGAATGCGATGCTAAATAACTTGATATAATTATTGCCCGTCTCATGTGTTTGTCCTATTGTGGTCTTGAACAATTATTATTAATAATATTAATCTCGTTAGATTTTTTTAGTATTAGAATCGACATAGAGTCACATGGTTTTCGTACGTAAAAAGCTCGTTAAATGGCGATCAGGGACTTTACACGAATATTTAGTGTCGTTACGTAATGATATTGACCTTTTACAGGGTTTTTGAGATATTTCCAAGGCTTATGAAGAAAATTAAAAAATACGTTGAGGCTAGTCAAAAAAAACGTAGAGGCTAAAAAAAAAATTATCACATGTAAAGCAGTTCAAGCCTTAAATGTTTATGTTTTTCCAGGAAGTTTATTTTTAAAACACTTGTTTTCAAGCATTTTTCATGAGGGTGGTTAAATTTTTACCTACATCTAACTGTGTAAATGTAAGATAAAAAAAGCTCTACATTTTCAAAACTTTCAAAATCTATCCTGTATCCAGAGCTGCAACAAGTCGGTTTTAAAAAGCATTAGCATGTTAATGTTTGGGTTAGGTTATGTTTTTGGTTGTTTTGTTGTGTGTTATGCTCGAGATTAACCGGGTAATGTCGACATTAACCGGACATCGGACCTTAACCGTAACATATACACTCTGTCCTACACTCTGACTCAAATCTTTTCTAAAATGACTTAAATCTTTTAAAAATTTTAAGCCTTTTTTTAACTTAAATTATAAATCATTTTGAAAATGACTTAAATTTAAGTTTTAAGTCGAAATATGACTTAAAATCAAATGACTTAAGTCACTGAAATTATTTAAAACAAAAAAATCAAGTTTTCTGTGAGCTCGCAGCTCCGCCTGTAATACTAAAGATACATTTTTATGAGATTTTTTTTGTTGATATATTTAAATATAATCTATCCAGTACTGAGACAAGGTTGTCCTACTGTAGTGTCAATGCTAGATTAAATCAGTGGCAGAATGACGAGTTAAACGACTCAATTACAGTTTAAGGTTTAAGGAGCAATTGAGCGCATCTCGTGACGGACAAGGGTCAACGCTGGCCACTGTTAGGGCTCTTAAGTAACCGATTTGTCTATAGTCTCTCCGCTCCTTGGGCGGAGAGTCAATTTGGGGCCTTTGGCCCGCTGGCCGAGTAACCCCCCTGCCCCCACTACCGGCCAATGTCTAGCTGCGCCGTTCTTGGGCCATTAGCCTTTTCGCTCTGGCTGGGCACCTGCATTTAAAATGGCAATGCTCTAATGTCCTACGTCTAATACCCAAATCAGAATATACAGGGTGTGGCAGCACATTACCCTTTTTAAAATAAATAGAATTTATTCATATATGTTCCTGAAAGGATAATAGTAATAAAGATTTTATTTATATATAGATATGCAGTAATTAGTAAAAAAAATAATAAAAACTAAATATGATTTTTATGAAATAAATAAATGATATTTTGTGAAATGATGACAGACTGTCCTTGTAAAGTCCATTGCATTGTTCGACAAGAATGTAATCAGCACTCATATTTTTCACTCTGTTCTGTACTATCCCACTTGTAAACAGGATAGAAATGATATTTAGTGAAATTGATTATTTTAAACTGCATAACAAAAACAGCATTATGTTGTTTCATAATAGTCGTATTTAATTATAAATTTCTTATCGGATATTTGTCTTAATGTCATTCTGCTGTTACATGCTCATTTAGCAATTTGTGGCTTTCCGTAACTTATTTTCTATTAGACGCATCATTAACTGATAATAATATCTATTTAGTTCTATTAAATAATATGCATTACATGAAGATATTTTTCTTTCATAAACAATATTATTATCAACAGTTTAAAGTATGTCAGAGTATTTAAAAAAATATTATTAGATTATGTAGTTAAGTTTTCCAAAATTTTGTACGGGTTTGTAAATCTGCCACGCTCTACAAATTATTTGCAACATTTTTTCCCCATGATTAACCCAAGATATTGCTACCGTTTGGCTTTTTCGTATCTTTCTCGCATGTAATATTTTTTTTTTCTGAGAATGAACACAACATTGGAAAGGAAAAAAAACATTCCGTTTAAAATACAAAACACATTCTATTAAGCAACACAATTTTTATTAATTATCAGCCAGGTCTTGTTGTCACGTGCTCAATGTTAATGCAGCCGCTACACAGTTATATAAAAATGTATTTCCATCAATACCGTTTAATAAAAGCCTGCACATATAATGCATATTTAATTCAATATGACCTCTCTTTACCAGTAAAATTCAGCATTAAATTTTAGCATTATATAGCCTATTTATGTTAGACCTTACAGCAAGATTCAACATTTTATTTAAAATGGCTTTTTATATAAAATGTTTAAATCAATATATAGTCGATACACGACAAACGACAATTATTACCCACGTATTACTATATAGAGTTTACAAACATCATGACTCATTTTTTACTATATTATAATTAAACTATTACTTTCAATCTGTTGTATTACAATTAAATCTTGCAAAAAAAAGATACATGTATACACCTAAACAACTAAAAAGAACAATGTACCGTTACATCTATTTACATAACTTTTCCCACAGACTAATGAAAACTTTTTGTTTAGAAGTAAATCATAGGTCTAATAACGCAAACGTAATTTATTTACTTACTTTTGCAATTTTACCTAGAGTTTTGTAATAATGTAATAAATATGATGATGTAAACAGATTTGCATATTATTACCAACCACCATTGCCTTTCTATCTAAGGTTATATATTTTTTTCTTAAATATAAATCCAAGAACGAGCTAAAGAAAGTTACAGACTAAAAAACGTAGTTTTTTTCAATGCCATTAATTACAGCGTGATATAATGTTTGTTGCTAATAAATCTTTTATAAAACACTTGCAACTTATATCACAGAAGTAAGAACGGTTATTATATTTTAATAAAATAATAGTGGATTTATCTTGGTAAAAGATATAACAGCAATTATGATTATACGCTACACACAAAATATTTGATGCTTGGAATGTTTGAATTGATTTTCGATAAATTCTTCAGTGTACTGATAGGAAATAGGATCAAGCCTTTTTTTATCAGTTATTACTATTCTCGACCTATTATTATAAAAAATTTCAAGAATGCGAACTGAGCAGAAAAAAACTGAAAACTATTTTTTTGATTGATTTATCTACTAGATTTTGAAGTATTTTTAAATATCAGCAGTACATTAAGTCGGGTATCATGGGGTATCATAGGTACCCGATAGTTTTACCTCCAAGTTCTACAGGTATATAAAATTTAAATATACGAATAAAATTTCATGTAATATCATATAAACTTGATAAATATATACACTTGTTACTACGGACCGTTATTACTTTAACAAATGCATAAATATATTTATTGACAGAAGTATTATTTTATAGGTTTATAAACCTTTAATACATAATAATATAAAAACTAAATAAATTGTCAAAAATTGTTCAATTTTGGCATGGTAATTCGGCATACGAACACCTTTAATAAACCTATTTACAACATCGCTGTATAATTCACATTTGAGCCAATATCTGAACAGTTCAAAATTTGCATGGGATTTTCTGTTTCCACCGACAATGCACCACCCGGTATATTTTTTGCGTCACAATAAATTTGACTATACTATATTACCTTGTTATTTATATATTACATTATCTTGTTACTACCGGCTGGTATTACCTACAATAATGAGGCAATGTATACAATTTCTTTATAATGTTTACAATTATACAGTATATTCTCTATAATTTTCACTTCTAAAACTTAAAGCTTTATGTCAATTTGATGAAGTATATTTGACTACTATTATATTGTATTACACTACCCTATCACTACCAATATGTGTATTACCTATGCAGTAATATTGTATATATTGAGTATACTATATTATAATCTATGCAATTTTCGT